GCTTTGGCTGGAGTGTGGAGTTTTTGGGGCTCGTGGAGTTTAGGGTTTAGGGCATGCGGGGTTTAATTAGAGGTTTGGGGATCTTTTTTTGCTTCTTGTTTTTTGAAGGTGAGGGTTGAGGGCGTGTGTTTTGGGCTCTTGGGGTCTAGAGTTTAGATCTCTTTGACTTGAGGATTTGGGTAGAGTTAAGGGGTTTAGGGATGTGTTGTCGCTCCTTGTTTTAAAGCTGAGCTTAGGGTTTAGGGATGTGTGTTGTTGCTTCTTTTTTTAGGCTTAGGGTTTCAGAGTGTCTAGTGTCTTTTGGGAGTTCCGGGCTCTTGGAGTTTAGGGCTCTTAGGCTTAGCCTTAGAGCAGGGCTCTTAGAGCTTAAAAAGTTGAGCAGTTTAGAGCTTCGGGCTTTTGGGTTTACCCTAAGGCTCCACAGGAGTTCTTTTTGGGGTTCATATTTAGCATCTTCTGAGGTAATCCCAAAAAGGAACGACTATGGGGCCCCTGGGTAAGACCTAGGAGTAGGCTTAGGACTTTAGGCTGTAAGAGTGCAGAGTTTAGGATGGCGGCAACTTAACTAACTGCTTTTGGGACCCTTATGTGAAACTCTAGCCCTTGCACCTAAATCCCAAAATCCCCATGCAACCTTGCAAGCCCCATGTAAGCACTTGATCAATACATCCTCTCTCTTTCAGGGCCTTTTTTGGATCCCTACTGTATGATAAGCTTTCAAGTTGAGGAAGGGTTTCATAATCAGACATGTAAGTTAATCACAAACTTGCGGAAGCCCCAGGCCCTTAAACCCTAAACGCTGAAACCCTAAACCCTTGAACCCTCAAACTCTAAACCTCACCCTTAAACCCTGAGCCTTAAACCCTTAACCGCGTATCAGCCCTAAACCCTACATGGACCTGGCGGCCGTCTGAGGCACCCACTTCCAGTCGGCTGAGGCCGGTTCGTCGCCGGTAATGCCAGCCACAGCTCCTCGAAACCAACCGTCGCGGTGTTTTTGGGGGTGCGAGGTTCAGGGGCTCATGATTAGGGTTTGGGTTCGGGGTTCCATCCAACACCTGCTGGAGTTTTTGCTCTTCAGAAGTTTGGGTGCATGTTCCTGTGTCCCCCCCAAAACGCACCGAAGCCCTAACCCTACATCTTGAAAAGCTTCGGAGAGAGGAGGGCTCGGCGAACAAAGAAAGCGTAGTTGGGGCTTTACGTCTTCGGGGACGTCGCGAAGTTTCGTGACCCGAGACCTCGACACATGGCCGAGTGTCTTCAGGATGTTGCTGTCAGACCACCAGCATGCAAAATCAAGCTCACCGATACTGCTGATAGTGGATGGATAGCCAGCTCTCGATCTACCTAAGGCAAGGATCGAGGGAAACGATCCTGCCAGACACACCGGGCTTCACCGGCAGAACATCCACGGTGCCCGCAAAAGAACCCATCAAAGGAATCCCTTCACGTACCTGCATCTCACCGCTCTGGCCGCTGAGAATCGAAACGGCCCCATTGGTAATATAGGGGCCTTCATATAGCTAGACCAAAGCTTCAGGGTAGATCATGGCATGTTAATTACGGTGTACAAATCATAGGGGATCCATAAGGCATGACTACTACCGATTATCCCGACCCCTCTTTGAAAAGCAAGCGTCCTCCGATCATGTCTGCGATCATCACGTCCTTATGCGACAGCGTCAAGAGGGAGGAGGGCTCGACAATTATCGGCACCCGTTCTGTAGGGGCCTTATTATGTCTCGATATGAAGTTATCACAAACTGAGCAGCGCGCGGCTCATGGAAGTCGAGGGCAAACCATACTAATCATGCGGAAACCTTCGTCCACAAAGTATTGAACCCAGAATTTCAACGCAAAGAGCAGGATTTCGGTCGACCGCTTAGGCTACCAGGCTCAGTCAGAGAGAGAGAGAGAGAGGGAGAGAGAGAGTGAGAGAGAGAGAGAAAGAAAGAAAGAAAGACAGAGAGAGAGAGAGAGAGGCCCGCGAAGGGGTTAAGACGCAAGCGGGGCACGAAGCTCCGAAAACGTCTGGCTCCGTGCAGGGCAGGCAGGCAAGCAAGCAGCAGAACCAAGATACACGTACGGGTAGGAGATGAACCCCAAAGTGGCATCCCGGCGAACCAATTAATATTTTTCCCTGTGTTTACTGCGCTTGACGTAGTCCCGTGTTCCCAGTGTGTGCCTTCTGTGAGAGTCTGCCAGTCGTGGAGCGGGGAGCGCCAATGATGCGACCCGGAGGTGGGAGCGGGGAGCACCAATGCTACGACCCAGTGGGGCATGGTGGGTGATTGTACAGCGGGGGAAAAACATCGCTACGACGCAATGGGGCAGGTGGGTGATTGTAATGCGGGGAGCACCATCGCTACGACTCGACAATCAGTGAGCGGGGCGTGTTGAATCAAGTAGAACCGTGCCAAGACGACGGTCCGGGGATGTGAAACACGATAACGTCCGTTAGCAGGAGCCAGGGGGGCATCGTCAGTGATGTCATCTCGTGTCGCCACGACCTGAAGCACATGATAGTTCCCAACCTTAGGGGTGTAGTCTGAATCTCAGCGGCGGCTCACGCTTCTCCTTCTCACGGGCACGCTGGAAGCACATGGAAGGAGAAGGTCACGAACATCAACCCACGCCTGTCTACACCCGTCGCACCTGATTGGATGCTGCATGTCTTCCAAGCTCCACAAGAGATCCCGTGTCTTGGTATACGAGCACGACCCGACTGCCCCATCAATCATGTCCACGACTACTGCATTGGACAAATCGTTGCAGCAAGCGCTCTTCAAATTGAAGAACACAGGTTCCACAGGAAGCATTTCGAGGAAACCACTTGTAATACACCGCACGGCAGTTACACGGCAGCACTGCTACCAGCATCGCATACACGTCTAACGAATACCGCACAGCAGAAGTAATAGTAGCAGTAGTAGTAGTAGTAGTAGTAGTAGTAGTAGTAGTAGTAGTAGTAGTAGTAGTGGTAGTAGTAGTAGTAGTAGTAGTAGGTAAAGTCGTCGTCGTAGTCGGAACAAAAGATTGTAGACCACCGGGAGATCCAATGTTCCTCATAGGGTACTGTACGGCACCGTCGCTGTAGTGCCGCCAGGTGAGGGAAGGGGGGTGCTCGTCGAGTCAATTACGAATCTTAATGCTGCCCCGGGGGTCCACACCCTTTCCAGCACCAGCCCACCCAGCAAGGCCCGCCACCAGGCCCCGGGGGTACTTGGAACTTGCATCAACTGTGATTGGAGTCTTGGTTGAGATGCTGGCAGCAAGTCGTCTTCCGGATTGCCATCCGCGAGGACGATCACGGTGAGGTTCGGGTGCTTCCGGCAGAGCTGCGAACCATCTAGCTTGTTGCCGGTGTTGCGCTCAACCGCGTTGATGACCGCGTCCTCGTCAAGGCCTTCAACATGGAACTCACAACTGTCCGGTCCGCCACAATGTCTTTGTCAACATCAGTCGACGATCTCGAACTCGCCTGCGTAAGAGCCTCGGAAGGATGGCTGGCGTCTTCCTGAAGAAGACGGAGCTGGGCTGCTTTCCTTCCACAGAGAAGGGCTGCCACCGCGGTATTCAGCGCTGCGTGGGGTCCAAGGCTCGGTTGGACGTCTGTCATCACGCGGCGGCCGAGAAAAAAGCTGGAGCATCCCATCCATGCAAAACCTTAACAACACAGCTGCCATGGCTCCACACCCAGACACCCCATCTGCTGCTTGAGCCAAAATGGCTACGGCAAGGCTCAGAGATTTAGGCTCTGGGGTTTAGGGTTAAGTTTAGCGCTTAGGAGGTTTGGGGTGCTGGACAGCTTGACGATCAAGTGCCAGAGCCTCCCCCGAATAGAAGCGCAGCCAAATCCCAAAACTGCTCCATACTGCCCTGCGGAAACCAAGAAGAACACAACCCTCACGCCCCAGAAGCCTAACTCGTGAGGCACCCTTCTTGGGTCCATTGAATTACTACCAGAGCCTTATAATCTTTCAGGGTCCATGTACTCATACAGCAGATACTTTGGCCTTAAAGTAGTCCCTGTATGTGCGCTTTGGGGCCAAAGTATAGATTCTTTGGGTACATGGGCCCTTGGGGAATCATCGCAGCCGAGGAGCCGCCGTAGAGGCCAACTCGGCCAGCAATGTGCGGCGAAAGGCCTCCTCCTGTGCGAAAGCTTAGATTATTGAAGAACCCAAAGGGTCCAATGTACTGTTATGGGGAATACTTCCCCAAACCATAATAGTAATTCCGAATATAGAAACCCTACATTCTACTATATCGGTACTTTGGACCCTTTGGGGAAGGGTCGCCAAGGGCTCCGCAGCCGTTTCGAAAAAGTCGCTAAGGGGTCTGCCGAGGTTTCGAAAGGGGTCCCAGAAAGGTTTCAAAGAGCAAGGGGTTCTGGTCTGAGTACATTGCAGTATACTATCGTATGGCATAGTTCAGCAGAGATTGTTCGACATTCTTTACGCTTTACGCTGCTTAGTATACAGCGTTGCAGCCGAAATCCTAAACTTGCATAGCGCGGTACACTACAGCAAAAAGTACAGAGAAGTTAAGCATGGCTCGTTCAATGTACGGCTTGTTCAGCAGCGGTATATTGGGATGTTGTCTCGTATGAAAGTATAACGTAGAGTATAGCATGCATAGTACAACGTAACTCGAGAGTCTGGTCTAGTATAGGAAAACGTTGTACAGCATTGTACTGCCTTGTCTTCTATTGTATTGCAGTATAGAGTACAGTAAACTGTAGTGTATGGCGGCATGGTGGGGTAAAGCATAGTGTGTGCTTTACCGTACACCGTGCAGTACGGCGAAGTCTAGTATACTATAATCAGCGTCTAGTCTGGTTCTAGTCTAGATCTGATCTCATCTGGTCAAGTCGTCTCCGAGAAGCGGGTTAGGCTTTCGACGAAAGGTTCAAGGTTCTCCACAGCCTTATAAACGGGAAACCACCTACACTCCAATTCTCTGACCATTCGCCGCCTCGATCAAGGAGGAAGCCAGGTCTACCAGCCTCGGAGATGAATGTTAGAGTGCTTCCTTCCATCATAGGGACCCTTAGAGGGGTAGGGGGAGGGGGGTAGGGGGCCTGAAAGGACCTAATAAGGCCTATTTAAGGAAATCTAGGCCCCTATCCCCCTCCCCCCTACCCCCCCTTAGAGGTCCTTATGATTGAAAAGGCCTACGGCTTCGACTTTTGGGGTTTCGCCTTGTCATTCGTTGATTCTTCGGGGGCTCCCTGCTTGCCGATCGGACGGCCTATGCCAGGATGTAGGGAGAGACAGATCCAGTGTTCAGGGTTTTAGGGTTTTACGGTTTAGGTCTAGGGTTTTTGGGGTTTAGGGTTTTGGGGCTTAGGATTCTAGGGTTTTAGGGTTTAGGGTTTAGGGTTTGAGGGTTTAGGGTTTAGGGTTTAGGGTTTTAGGGTTTTAGGGTTCAGGGTTTAATGTTTAATGTAGGAACCTGATTAAGAAACCTTGGGCCTTTAGTCGGGTTCTACAAGGGTGCCTTTAAGGGGTACTACAAGGGTACTCTAACGGGTTTTTGGGGGATTTGATTTAGGAACCTGATTAAGAAAGTTCGGGCCTCTACTGGGGTTCCTTATATGAATCCTACTATTTTGGGCAGGGTTTTTTTAATGAGGTTCCTACATTATTATAGTACCCTTAACGTAACCCTTATAAACCCCTTTAAAGGGACCCTGAGAAAGGCCCAGGGTTTCTTAATCACTTTCCTACATTATGATAGTACCGTTATAAATCCCGTATAGTAACCCTTAGAAACCGCTTTAAAGGGACCCTAAAAAAGGCCCAGGGTTTCTTAATCAGGTTCCTACATGAACCCGGAGCTTCGTAGGATCCGAGAGGATTTCACTGGGAGGTTCGTGGCTAAGCTCCGGCCATGAGTGATACTTCAAGATTTTTAGGATTCAACTTGTGTGGGTGTATGGTTTTTTGGGGGCTTTCGCGTTGTAAGGCTTGGGTACCAGATTCGGGTTTAGGGCTTGATGGTTTGCTTCGTGTATTCGTGTTTACCCTAAGGCACCAAAGTAGTTCCTTGTTGCGGTTCATATGTAGCATCCGAAAACGTAATCCCCAAAAGGAACTACTATGGGGCCTCTGGGTAGGGCGCGCATCTATTCTATACCCCCCTTAGACCAACAATAAACATGCTATGTTAATAGTCTCTTGGGTTCTATATGAACAAAACATACAAGCTAATTCCTAAGGAGACCTTAGTAGTCTTCCGAGCTTTCAAAGGTGGGGTGTTCTTTAGGCCTGGCTCGAGCCGAAGATCTTGAAAGGGGCCTATGAGGGCTGCTACAAGATTGAAGGGTTTAGGATTAGTTACAGTTTCGGGTTTGGGGTTTATGGGTCCGCAATGAGGTTTCCAGTAGGGCATACTGTTCTAGCCATACGAACCGTACTTCAGATGACAAGGTCTCCGGTTTGAGATGTAGCACATGTGGAAGGTTACTGCAGATGTCCGCACAAAATATTCTCTCAGGACCAGCCATATATAAACCTAGCCTCAGGATTTTATTCGTGGCCTAGAGTTCCGGGCTTTGGATATGAATAACGTGCGCGGTGGAAGAACATCCTGGGACGATTGATTGCCAACATGTTCACTGTCACGGCTGTTGATGTCGTGCCCCACTTCATATGTCAAAGTTATACCACTTACAACTTACAACTCTTATGAGGGGTTGCCGAAAACAGTGGACCCTAATCTAGTATCCTAAATAGTAGGATCCTTGTTTCCCACCCTCGGTGTGGGGTTGTTAGATTTTAAAGTCATCTATTACTCCTCGCCCGCTGAGATTATTTTCTGGAGTACCCAACCCCACAGACTACCGTGAGAATACCGTGAGCCCACAGACTACCGTGAGAATTCCTGGAGTGCCCAAGCCCACACACAGACAGAATCCCTGGAGTGCCCAACCCCACAGACTACCGCGAGATTTTTTGTGCCCAACCCCACAGACTACCGTGAGAATCCCTGGAGTGCCCAACCCCACAGACTACCGTGAGATTCCCTGGAGTGCCCAATCCCAACTTTGGGTCTTAGGATTTGCGTGTGGGAAGGACAAGGCGCTAGGGTGGGGATGTTCGAAGTAAAATAATTATGAGTTATAACGACCCCGAATTAGGTACACCCAAGTTTTCGGAAACTCCCATGCAACCAAGGCCTATTGGGCCGTGCAGAACCCAGGAGGGAGTGGCCTGGGCCGGGCATGCGTCCAAGTGGCAGGGCCGTGTCATCGGATCGTCCGTCGGCCGTCTTCCTGAAGGCTTCCCTTGACCCGATAGTTCGGGGATCTAGAAGGGCTCGATAGACGGATCCTGTAGGGTTATAAGGGTCGGTTTCAAGGTGTTGCAGCTTAGGGTATTCAGGTATATAGAGGGTTTAGAGTTTGAGGTGTTGGGGTACTAGGATGATATGGCGGGAATCAGAACTTAGGCGATTTGGAGCATTAGGCTAGGGCTTAGGGGGTTCAGAATTGACTTGAATGTTCATGGGTCGTTACAAGCAAGACTATGACTATGAGTTCCGCAAAGCTCAGCATTCACTTGCAAGCCAAAGCGGTGTCCCGACCTCAGCGTGGCTCCCCGAGCACCCATGATAAAGTCAGAGCCTCATTCTAGTCTGATCAGCAACGTTGTAGCAAGTTCACGCTGCAGATCTTGCGACTACAATGTGTATGCCCGGGAGAAAAGCCCTAAACCCAATGATGCAAAGAAGCTATGAATGCAACCAGGGTTCACAACACCATGTGTTTACCTGCCCAGAATTCGCGCTGCTGGCTTTGCCCCAGCCAGTAGCCAGCCCCTCTCCCACGACTAGCTGCCAAGCTCTCATCATGGGCGCCGCGATCGTAACCCTTATCAACATAGACTTAAACCGTAAATCTCAGACTACACGCCTAACAGCATTTTTTGGGTTGAGCTCCTTCTCTAGAGCCCTCTAAAACAAAGGGGCTTGAAACTTTTGGTTGGATGCAGGAAGTGGTGTCTCGGGTTGAGCTGGACGTTTTTTAAATCAGAGACTCGGGCTAGGCTAAACCCTGAACCCCGATACTGTAGGGGCCTTAATATTTAGAAGAGAGACTTGGGGCCGATCAAAACAGTATAGGTGATGATTGAGGTTCTGTAATACCCTCAAAGCCCCGAAACCAAAAGGCTTAAGCCTGATGAAAACACGAACTCGATCGGCTGCCCTCCCAACCAATGAATCCCAGACGAAACCTTACTATACGACCTTTTGATCTCGAACAATGTACAAAATCGGTCTAAATCCCAACCCCCAAACCCTCAACTGCCCTAAACCCCAAACCCCCCCCCCCCCCTCCGCTTTTTACTTGAATCCCTAAGCCCTAAACCCTGCTGAAGGGTGTTAGCCGAGGCCGCTGCCGCCCAGGAACACTGATGCTGCTCTTGGAGGACTCCCGGAGCCTTCGGATTCTCTCCCTTTGGTGGTTTAGGATGCTCGGGGGGTTTAGGGTTCCAGGAGTTGCAAGTTTTTAGGGGTTTATAGGGTTTAGGGATTACTGTTTGGGGTTGAAGCTTGAAGGGCTTGCGGTTCAGGAATGTGGGGTTTTGTGCTTTGGAATCTAGGCCTACTGTAGGGGGTTTGAATATTTAGAGCAGGGTTTTGGGCTTTTTTACACTGTGAAGACAATGAAATAAGGAACCCTAAGGACGAATAGTGGTCAGGTGCGTGCATCGGTTTCTGTATTACTCTCAAAGCTCCGAATATGTATGTATAAGAGTTCGATATGGGCACCATGGATCAGCAATGAAGTTGAAGTAGACCCCTGAGCAATCCACCCCAGCTGCCCCAAAAGGGATTTGTCTAGCCATTACAACAGGAAACCCTCACACCGCGCCTCTCCGGGATCCGTCATCAACAGTTACCCATAGGCCCCATCGTAGTTCCTTTTGGGAGTTACCTTATAGGATTCTACATATGAACCCCAAAAAGGAACCACTTTGGGGCCTTAAGGTAAGACAGCTAAGCAGGCGTAAGGTTTCCGCCACCTCGACTCTAACCCGGAGGCCAAGACTATAGGGGCGTTAGCCGTTAATACCTATACTATATTGGGGCTTCCTATTGAGAGTATTATGGGCCCCAAAACCATATTCTATTGATCAAGGCCCTGTATTAACTGCTTTCCACGCTGAATCGCCTTCAGACTAAAGCCCAGCAGCATCAAGTATAAGCACGAAAAGCCAACAATATTAGTAAGCCCGAAAGGAAAACGAAGCTGAACATCGACCCACCAGGGGCCATCCTAAAATCTCACGTCCATCGGCGGCATTTTCCACTACTGCCTGTAACCTAGGAGCCTCAAACCCCATTTTCGACCCCAGACCTGAAACCTGAACCCCAAAGCTTAGACCCCAAACCCTGAAACCCTAAACGCACAGATCCTGAACCCGAACCCAAACAGCACAGTTCGTAATCCCTAAACCCTAAACCCTGGAAGCTCGCATAGGTCTCCCGGCAAGTTGGCCGCGCGGTCCCAGCGAAGCTGGCAAAGGTGGCCGCGCCGGTGCTTGGGAGAGAGCTGAAAAGCAACTCCATCAGACCTGGCTACTGACGTCGGGTTTAGGGTTAGGGTTTAAGGTTTAGGGTTATAGGGTTAAGGTTAAGGTTTAGGGTTCTTTTATGAAGCCTGGCTACTGAAGTCGTTTAAACGACGGGGATTCAGGACATGATTTCATGGGGGTTCAGGTGGTAATGCTGTTCCCGGAGTTTCTTGTTACAAAAGCTGAAGAGCAACTCCATCAGACCCGGCTTCGGTTCGAGTGATGTTTGCTGGTTTGGGGTTAGAGTCTTGCGGCTTCAGTGGATATATAAAACAGAATTGTATAAGGTTCATTGAAACGCATCTAAAAGGACCCAGAGACTCCAATATCCCTTAATTGGGGATATGCTTTAAATTATAGCAGGATCCCTAACATGATTTAAGGAATATTCCCTATTGAGGGATGTTGGAGTCTGGAGATTTTACCAGGGTCCAAGCTTAGGGTTTACGACAGCCAAGGCGAAGAGCTACCTCTGCATTTAACCGTACTTGCATGCATGTGCATGTGTATAATGAGTATCTATGCACGACGCAAATTACATACATACATACATACATACCTACCTACCTACATACATACATACAGCATCCATGCATCATGCATCCCGCCCGCCGCCGCTGCCGCCGCCCGCCCCCGCCCCCCCCCCCCCCCCCCCCCCCACCACCACCACCACCACCACCACCACCACCACCACCACCACCACCACCACCACCACCACCACCACCACCACCACCACCACCCCGTTCCCTGAATTATCTAAGGTTTCTATGAAATCTACGAAGCTGTTGTGGTGGTTTGTCAAGCTTCATAAAAGCTAACGGCTCACAGACTTGTGCTGGGGGGTCTCGACAGTGTGGGGGCACTTTGAGTTTGCATAGTAGAGGCCCTGCAAGCTCGTCAAAGTCTATCAAAGTCTCATGTCTGCTTTTTCCTTGGCTTATGGCGTATGACCCCAGAACGGACACCGGCAGGCAGCCGATGATGCCACACGATCCTACGAAGATGCAGGGTTAAGCCCTCAATATGACGCACTCTTGCTGCAATGTAGGTGGCTCACAAACCTTAAAGCAGACATCGTTATGCAGCATAGCCTCTAAGATTCCTAAGGTAGAAGAGTGAAATGATGCCCGAGCGACCATGGGTTCAGGGCTCCAGGTCCGAAACCCTGCAAACGAACTCTCGAAGGAAAGCCAAATCTAGACCCGCAAACCCAAAACTCTGAACCCAAAGCCCGAAGCGCAACAAGCAAAAAAACAATCTGTAGACCTTGTTTACCCCCAAAGTTTAGAAACTCCTCCTTATACGCCCTTACACGTACCATAGGAAAAGCTCTCCATAAAACCACAGGGTCCTTTGTACCGTTATGGGGGATACTTCCCTAAATCAAAATAGTAATTCCTGATATGGAAACCCTACATTCTACTATATCGATACATAGGACCCCTTGGGTTTTAGTTTGCAGGGTCTAGGGTTTAGCCAGAGGCCCCATAGTACCTTCCTTTTTTGGGGGATTACCTTATAGGATTCTACATATGAACCCCCAAAAGGAAAAGCTCTGCATAAAAACCACAGGCCAGGCGGCTGCTTCGCAGCTCTGAGTCGAGAAGAATCCTCCGCGCCACGTAGGGGTACGCCGCCTTCGCTGACCGGAGCGTTGGTTTCCTTTAAGGGGTAGGGCTTATAGGGTTTAGGGTATAGGGTTTAGGGTAAAGGGTTTAGGGTATAGGGTTCACTGAATAACCTACCTTTTTAAGGTTCCTTATTGTGATTTCCTTATATAAGTCCTTAAAAAGGTAGGTTATTCCGGCTTAAGGTAGGGTTTAGGGTTTAGGGCACTATCTAGGATTCTATAAAAAGGGGGCTGTCTAAGGCTTCTATATTCCTTGAAGGTTGCTATCATAAAGTTCTATGGATCACTTAGAGCAAGCATGAATTCTTATGGATTTTGATGGGGTTTACTGTTTTGGGTTCATGAAGGGATTTAAATGCTTGAAGGGTTGTGTTGTGTAGTGCTTCTGCAATGGATTCTCTGCCGGGGGGTGGGTCACGTAAGAAAGTAGGGTTGGAGAGGCTTAGCGGTTTGGGATCTATTGGAGCTTCGGGCTCCTGTTTGCTTGTTCAGGGGTTTAGTATGTGGCTTTAGGGTTTCAAGGCTGCGGATAGGGCTTGAGCTTTGCGGGTGTCACAAGACCGAGAGGAAGCAATGGCGTGATCCAAAACCATCCAGCTCTGCTGCTTGCCCTGAAACGGATGATTGAATCGGCCTAAGCCCCAAAACAGAAGCAGTTTGCGAATCAAAACCACATGCTAGGATCTGAAATCTGAACCAGCAACCCCGAAAGCCAAACCATTCGGCCGTAAAGAGATCCCTAACTTAATATATTTGTTAGAATACTCAACGAGCTGGGCAAGCACCAAAAAGCGTAAACATGTTCGGTGGATTTGGGGCTTTATGACGTACAGCTCGGTGCTTTGGGGGGTGTGGATTGCCTGAGCTACCACCGCCCGAGTCCACACCCCCAACTCCCAAAACCTCACTATCCTCAATGCTCGAAGCCCCTGAGGCCTGAACCCGAATTCCCTGAACCGTAAGAATACATATATAGGGGCTTTAATATTTAGAATTGGGTTTTGGGACCCATGATACTACAGTTATAATAAGGACCCCCCCAAAAACTAAGTATTGGTAATTATTTACTTTAGGCCCCTATATTTATGCTCTGCCTGAAACCATAGACGGTGTCCTCAATCCTAGAAGCCGCCTTCGCTCCCTCCCCCGATCCGCCTCAAGGACCCGATAGTCCTCGTCGATGGACAGTGCCAAGCCCTCCAGATTGACCAAAGAACCTTGGAAGGGCGTCTGGAGCTTGGCCTAGACCCTCCATCTACCCTCTATCAGACCCAAGAAAAGCCCACTATTTAGGACCATATACTCCTGTTTGATGGATAAGGAGGGTCCTGGAAGCTGCGGGGTTTAGATTTTGGGGTTTGAGGTTTAGGGTAGGGTTTAGGGTTCGGGGTGTAGATATGGGGTGTCGGGTTTGGTAGGGTTTCGGATTGGGGTCTAGGCGTTACATGCACGATTAAGGGTTTGCGTCAGTCTGCGTTGAGAGTTCAGGGGCTCAAGGTTTAGGGTGTGGGGCTTTTCGGAACTAGTCCTCATCCAAGAACCCAGCAAGTTCCCTATGGTCCTCATTTGTGAGTCGTCCGGCTATCGCAGAGGGTAGTCCGCGAATCTACGTTTCGTCGCACACGACGACGCGTGAATTGTAGGTTGTAGGTCAAGGGCTTTCGGCTTAGTTCTCGGTATTGAAACCTCGCGAACCAGGCAACATATAGCAGGATGGAACCTTTTGGAACCTGCGTTCCCCACCTTCGAGTCGTTCGTTGAACGAGGGCTCCTCTCTGCAACCTTGCCTGCTGAACCTACTCAAACCCTACACATCTAATCTCCAAGCCCGCCGATCCTGTGATGCTGTGTACTGTACGGGCCTTCATAATTAGAATAGGGTTTTGGGGCCCATTATACTAATGATAATAATGGAACCCACAAAATAGTATAGGTAATTTTTCAGGCCCCTATAGTAATCCGATGATCTTACGGCTCTGTTGCCCGGCCCCTACAAGGATCCAACAAATCGGACGGCCATGCAATTGCAGGATACCCTTTTCTTTGAGGGCCAAGAAGGGGGGGGGGGTTCTACACTTTAGATCCTTTGACTCTTGACTGACAGACCACATATACATAGAGACTGCGCAGTTACGGCTTTGTGGCATGACCTTGCAAGGACCATATCCTCCACACATAGGAGGAGCTTCGGTCTTCTTTGCTGCCTTGTGCCCTTAGCTACCAAGTACTACCAGACCCCAGTGAACCCAAACACTAGCCTAGGCCGCTTGCCAAAGCAGCCCCTAAAGACGCTAGGAGTTGGTGAAGCCCAGCGGCGCACGACGAGTGCATAGAAGGCCGGCACTGTAAAGGGGTAGTTCTGGAAAACGACCTCCCGAGGTTGAGGGGCGTGGGATTCAAGGTTTACGGTATACCTACAGTCTCCATTGTAGTTCCTTTTTGGTTAACCAGTTTTACGGGTAGGATCCTATGATACAGATTTTGGTTAACCAAGAAATGGAACTACAATGGAGACTATAGGTAGGGTTTAGGGGCGCGAATAAGTAGAGTGGGGTTGGGGGGGTATAGTGTACCATGATGGTAAATCGGAGTCCTACGGACAATTCAGTTCTTGTAATGAAAACCCAAGAAGTAAAGCCAATGTAGGGGCTAGGGATATCTCGGGTTCGAGCTAGCTTGAAGGGTTTACGATGTTTAACGGCATAAGGTCTTAAAGTTGGGTTTAGGGCTGACGAAAGTATTTAGGGTCTGGAGTTTAAAGTCGAGGGTAGTTGTAAAATTATGGAGGCCAGCTCCTTCCGACCTCTGGCACGGCAAGCAATCCCGTGAATGATGAAATGTAGGGGCCTTAGTTATTGGAAAGGCGGTTTGGGGTATATAATAACCATAGTAATGAACCCCAAACTAGTATAGGTATTTGTATTTAGGCTTCTATAGAACCCTCAGTGTCACTTGATAGGCTCCCGTGAGAGGCACCACTTCATTCGCTCTGCCAAAGGCGCATGCTTGAACTCGTAAAGCTCCTGGAAGATGAGGCAGGAATAACCCTAAACCCTAAACCCTAAAACCCTAAACCCAAAACCCTCTATGATTTCCTTCGGCCGCTTCAGGCTTCGGGTCTTCCAGCTCTTTCGACCCTAAACCCTAAACCCTAAACCCCTAAAACCCTAAACCCTAAACCCTAAACCCTAAATAAACCCTAAACCCTAAACCCTAAACCGCTGCAGTCTCCCGCGCGTACCGCTTGTTTCTAGTTTTCTGGGCCGGGCCAACCCTCTTGTTGCATCGCTCTGTCTCTCTCATCTCGGCCATCTTCGCTTCGTGATCTCGCTCCTGAGAGAGGCAGGGTAAAGCAGATTCAAGCTCTAAAAGTCGGCAGAAGCCAGGCAGTGTGTGGCTTTGCAGCTACTGACGAGCCATCTTCCCCCATTGACACTGCTATTAACTTCGCCGCATCCTTTAGGCGACGGCTGGCTTTTGATCCGCCCTGATGCCCACCTCAAAATTAAAACCCTAGAACCCGCAAGTCCTTCACCCCAACCCACCGTTGACAAACCAAAGACCCCTAGGCCTGAATCCCATAAGCACCCTGAAGAACAACTCAACTCCTAAGGTCGGCGGCAGAGAGACGTGGTTCCCAAGCCCCGAAGACCCTGCAGAAACCCAAGCCCACCTCGTTTAGAGCTCTAGTTGAGGGCTTGTTTAAGGCTTAGGGTTGGGGGGTTTGTGGCTAAGGCACCTTAAACTGTTGGGCTTCATGCAGAAATCGAAAACTGGACCCAAATGCTTTCCACACGTGAACCGCGCGTGCTTAACCCCAGCCGAACCATGTAAACCCAAGAATGCAAGATCCTTGAGGCCTTTCCCTGCGCCCAAACCTACCAACCCAAAGCCCTAGAGTCCTGAAGAGCTAATCGCTTCCCCTCATATTAAAGCCTACCCTAATACAGTAGGGGGAGGGGGGGAAGGACGTTTTAATATCAGATGGAAGGGATTAAACAGCGAGATCTGGGCCATAGCTTCGACATGCAGGCCTTGAGCCCCGAACCGAAACCTCTGAAATCGACGACGCCTCTGTGAGGCCATCCACGATGGTTTTGAAGCTAATGGCCTGAGTTCGGCATAATTTTGGGCCCCACTCGTTAGACTAGAGGCTTTACAATAGGATATGCCAGAGAATAAGTGTACAGACGTTTTATGGGATTCACCCGCACATATGCAGTCCAAGGATGTCGGGAATAGGGTTTCGGGCACTGGGACCGAGCGCGTCTGGGTTCTTGCCCGATATGGTTCCTGTGGAGGAAAGCGAAGAGGTGCTGCTTCGAGGTACTTCGGTTGATGATATAAATCCTGCATCACCCATAACAAGGAATATACCATAATTCCCATAGTTTAGAGTCCTTAAGGTAATGCAGGATTTCTAGCATCAACCGAAGTACTTTCGCTACTAATGCAGATCTTCAGGACCAGTCGGGCTAAGGGTTTAGGCCTTCAGCAGTTCCACGGAGAGCAAGACCCTGAGCCCTAGGCTTTATCACAGGCCTCCTGCAAAGCCACCTCCGAGCATGAAAAGGGGTCACAGATGTGACTTACCAGCTCGTACAGCGTGGGACGGCAAGCTCACAGCAGCAAGATCGAGAAAAACGCCTTACTAATTGGATAGTATGAGTCTAATGTTCGGGGCCACTGGGCGCGATTCTAGTACTAAGCAGTCAGATCCCAGAGAAGAACTCAGGTGCAGGTCTAGCCCTGCACACACTGAAGATGCTTAACACAGGCCGTCGAAACCTAAAATCCTAAACCCAACAGTTGAAAGCCTTGCTACAGTCAACAAAATTATGGAACCTGGAACAAAGTTCCGCCTGGTACCATCGGAGATTTACAGGGATAGAGTTTAAAGTTGGGGCTGAGATTCAGATCTGGGCATTCCGGGCGCCCCAAGACACCCTCAACCCCCAAACCATAAACCCTAAGTGGGAGTTTCCGAAAATTAGGGGTACCTTATTTGGGTGTCCTTATGATAAGGGTCCTACCATTTAGGGTACTATATCAGGGTCCCCTATTTTCGGAAACCTCGGAATATGATTATCCTAAACCCTCTATGGTAAATTATACGGTATCCTACCCCGAAACCATATTCCAACTTTCTGGAGTTCCCTTTAAGTGCAAATCTTGGTCATACCGGCGCTCCGAAGCTTGCCGCCCCAAGCAGCACTGCTAACAGCCCGCGGTTTTCAGCGGTTTAGGTTGGGTACGGCCCCGTTACAGTAAGAGTCTATAATAGGGCTACTATTAAGGGCCTTATATATCTATATTATAAATATTATCCAACTGTTACTGAGTGGGGGCCGTACCCAAGGTCTAGGGATTATAAAGGGGTACTTTCAGCCCTGGATCCCGTGAACCCAAGAAAGTTAAACCCGACCCGACCCGAAATCCCTTCAATCCTGGCACATCCAAACCTGAAACGCTCGGCCCTGATAAGCTTAAACGCCCTAAACCCTAAACCCTAAACCTTAACCCTTAAACCCTAAACCCCTAAGCCCATAAGATTTGGAGCCCTTTGACCTCTGAGTCGTAGGCCCTTCGAGCCCTGAACCCTTTCGGGCCTAAACCTTTCCGACTTCAAGTTCCGAACCTTTTTGAAAGGGTTTAGCCATAGAGAACCTGCCTCAAAACCTCAAAATCCTAAAACCTAACCATATAATTCCAGAGCCCATGAATTCCTCCCTAACCCCCGCTCCCTTGCAGCCCAAGGACGGCCACTCGGGCAGGGGCCAAGCGAGGCTCGAAAAAGGCCTTTTGAAAGGGCTGCATTTGGGACGTAGAGCGGCGGTTTAGGGTTATGGTTCAGGGTTCAGAGGTTCTCTCCTAGTTTGTGGCTTAAGAGTTTAGGGTTTGGGAGCCCTGTAGTACTGCGAAGGGTGGCTTGTGAAGAGGGTGCGGTGTCAAACCTGATCTGTCACGAACTCCGTGACGTCAAGTCAGGTGTCAGGAGGCTGGCTACCGTGATGTCTTCACCCTAAGGGTCGAGGTAGTCCTTGCTTATGGGTTTTGGAACCTAAACAGGCCCGAAAGTCCTATAAAAGGGAGTACTTGGACCCTCTGGGTCAAGCAACCAGGCAAGCATCTTCTTATCCGCCCAGCCCGTGTCGTTTCACGTGGCGAGGTGTAGAGTTAAAGTCGTTTTGACAGTCTTGGTCGCTTGTTGGCACTTCTTCAGTACGGCACGCACGGTGAAGGTTCTCAATTCCCTGAACTTGCCTGTGCCCCAAGCCTAGCCTCAGAATAGCAACCGAAAGACTAACCTATGAACTTTGATCGTAAACCCTAAACCCTAAAACCTAAAACCCTTAATCCACTTCGGCTTTCGGCATCGAACGTGGACCGGACCCCTCAACCCCTCAACGACAGCACCTTGACCTCTGTCCTCAACTGAAACCCAGCAAACGCCAAAGCAAGACGCAACCCAAAGGACAAGCTGTGATTGATCCATGCCATGGGTATAATTCGGGGAGCTGGACAACTTCCTAGCGAGCTTGAGTGAGGTTCCCATTGAAACAAGGGTAGCAGAGAATGCGTCACCCAAATCCCCAACATTGAACCTCCAAGCCGACGTAAGGAACCCCCAGAAACTCGACATGGGCAGTTCTCTAAACGAGGGCCCCTTTTGGGGTCCTCTCTATAAGGCTGCCGTACTATTTCGGGGGCCTAAAAAGGGACCCTGGAAAACTACCCATGTGCAAACGGAGCGACCTCTGGGATCCGAGGTAGGTCTCGGCACGCAAGCCAAAACAACACAACTCAAAGAACTCAACCCCCAAACACCGGTATGCAAGATCAATCACCCTAAACCCTAAACCCTGAATTCTAAACCCCTACATCCTAAACCTTAAACCCTGAATCCTATAAACCTTAAACCCTGAATCCTAAACCCTGAATCCTATAAACCTTAAACCCTGATCCTAAACTCCTACACATATAAGGTCCTACACCTCAATCCTTGCATCCCACAAGCCCTTAACCCTAAATCTCAAACTCAGAACCCGGAGTCCTAAACCCCAAAGCACGAATCCTATAAACGCTAGAACCCTAATCCCTGCATCTCATAAAACCTACCCGAATATAGTACCCTAAGTAGTAGGGTCCTCATTATATAAGGACCCCAAAATACGGTACCCCGGACCCCTAAACCCTAAACCCCCAAGCGATTCCCGAGCCTCGAGCTTGGGAGCAATGGGCCGCACGTCGATGTCGCGGGAAAGGAAGCCGAGCTCCTGACATCTATATAAACCTATGAGAGTTTTAGGGTTTTTAGGGTTAAGGGCCTGACATCTATATAAATCTATGAGAGTTTTAGGGTGTTCGGGGTTAAGGGTTGAGGGTTTAGGCTTGAAGGGTTGAGGGTTGATCGTTCAATAAGGACCCTAATATTTAGGATGCCAAGGAAGGGACCACAATTTTGGCAACTACCCAAATTTAGGGATCAAAGACTTTCGGGGTTAAGAGCCTGGGTGGGGCTTGGGCAAGAACTTTGGTGGAGAGGGTCCGATCTCAGGTGCGGGGCTGCGGGCTTTCAAGCCAGGCTGCATGGTAGTCGGCCGCCATTCCACGATAGTCGCCTCGGACTCAAGAATGCACGTACTCGCATCGATGCGCATAAGGGCTGCCATCTAATCTAGAAGCAAGCTAGAAACCACAAAGATAGAAAATACAGTCTGCAAAGGGTATACCTCCTGTAAAAAAATATGTGAAGGTGCTGGCTAGGATTCAGCTTCTTTGGGTTTGAGTCCCCCGCTTCGGGTCAACGGTATAGGGGAGCTTCTGAACTCTCACCCTAAGGGTCCAAGTAGTCCTTATTTATGGCTTTTGGCACCCAAAAAGGCACGAAAGTCCTATAAGAGGGAGTACTTGGACCCTCTGGGTCAAGCGGCATTCAAGAAGAGCTCAGGCTCTGCTTTGTGCAGCTCTACAGGATTCGGATTGGCTTTGTATACGGGCTTTATATGATTTATATGACTACACATGGGGTTGAGTGGTATACTATAGGATGCACATATGCGGATGTAAGCATTGTACTGCTGAAGGGCTTCCATGCGATTCTGATCGTTAGATCGTAGATAGATTGCGGAGCCGGAAATAGTGCGGCTTTCGGGTGTGCATCCCACTGTCATTCCATGTTTGGAGCAAGCCGGTCGTTTTTGCTTAGCAGATCAACCGAGAAGTAACCAGGCTTCAGTTAAGAGTCTAGATTAACCTCTAGCAAGACCCACACAGGGATACATGGGCCTCCGATTTTTTTCTTGATCCCACTATCTCTATATACGTGGGCCCCCATTTTCTCCAACTCACATACCTTGACACGTGCCTTGAACTGTGGGCATCGCAAGCGCGTTGCGGCCGGGCTCTCTCTAGTGCTGCCAGATGGCGATTTACAATGTGCACGATGTGCTGGATAACCTTGGGATGTAGCGGCAAAGCCGGAAACGGTCTCATGCACATGACTGATGACAACATTTGCCGGATGTGGTTTCCGGCATAGCGCTTCTGTGGCGGCGGTCTCTACCACTTCCGGCTTCGTCACATCATGTTGCACACCTCCGACACCCGAAGGAGAAACCACTTCGATCCTTGAGAGCGCTTGTATTCTCCTGGCCGGAAACCAAACCCCTACAGGGGAGGCATCAAGGCCTATCGGTTCTACGGGGTGTAGGTCGACTCTGCACTCCTCACTCGGGTGCAGCCTCTCTCGTTAGCTGGTCTTCGTAAATGTAGCAGACCCTACTACTACTACGACGACGACTACTACGACTGCTACTGCTACTGCTCAGAAGCAATCGAAGACCCGGACTGCGTGCTGAAAACGGAAGTCTCGAGAAACACACTGATGGGGCGTGGTTGCACCCTAAACCCTAAACCCTAAGGGGATGTGATCGAACACCGTGCAGTTTGTTGAGACCCGTTTATTCCACAATACTTAGAAATGCAGCAGAGTGGATTGCTGGTCGTCAATGCGATTTCTGACCCTGAGAAGGGCCGGCAGGACCAGTGCCTTCTTGGATATGATGCTTGCTATCGCATGATCTTGCATGAGCTTAAATCTCAAGAGTCCCCCTGTGGCTGAATCCTTATGCTTCTGCGCGTTTAGTGCCTCCTATAGGTCCACGGGTCCTAAATACCGATACCTTGCATAACTCGTCTGAAAAAGGGGCGCTCTTTTATCAGGAGCTACCATGGTGTTTTGTGTATGTATGTACCCCTTGCATAGGCACTTCGGTTATATATATATATATATATATATATATATATATATGGGTATAGTATTTTTAAGTGCCCCGCCTTCTGCGGGTTAACCGGGGTTCCTGACATTGTTGAACATGATCTTCAATCGAATCTGGCTCAGGACCTCAACTCCTTTCGCAAAGGTGTTAAGGAGGACTGGTTTGCATCTTCATCTGCATTCCAGAAGCATGTCATGTATGGCAAACTTGACACGGGTGACCTAGCTGATTCACAATCGTTGAGAGCAGCATGCGTCTACATGCACTTTGGTTGGATTCGAACCTGGAAGTGTTCCAAATGCAAGGCATCAACAGTGCTGCAACAAGGTCGTTCATTGACAGAGATTCTTTGGGTATGTAGCCGCAATCACAGCCACAAACATTTCCGGAAGTCTGCAGAAGTACCAGCTTTGCCTTTTCTGAGAACTGGGAGTTGGATGTCCTTTCTGCACTTTCTTGTCATGACGAAGAACAACATGAAGATCAAAACCATAGAAGAAGAGCTTCACGGTGCTCATGAAGTCAGTCATCAGAGGATCTTCGTCTGGCAGCAGAAATATCATGATGCTATACGGGCATACATTGACGCAAAAGCAATCCATAGGATTGGAGGTGATGGAGAGCATGTTGTTGTTGACGAGAGTGGTATCGGGAAGGTGGGTTGGATGGTTGGCAAACAGGCTATGAAAGCTGGTCGCATCATGAAAAAGCCTGCGAGAATCGTTGCTAGAAAGCCTTGCAAAACGGTTTGGCATCCTGCTTCAAAACCGCATCCCAAGAAAAAAGCTGGGACCGCCTTGGACAAGCGCAAGAGCACCAGATGGCTTTGGTTGGGCGTGGAGTGTGGCAAGAAACAAGTCAAGACGCATGGTAAGGGAACCACGAGGGTTGCACTCGAGATACTTCCGCATCCTGAAGCAGCTCCGTCGAAGAAACCACGAGGCAAGACAAGTTTGAAGAACGTCATCGGCAAGCATTCAACCTTTTTTCGTCCGCATGCAACCATGCGAAAGGTTTCAGAGATTTGGCGACTGGTGTACATTCAAACGATGCCGAGTCGGAGATCAGCCGGTTTAAGCTGTGGTGCCGAAGCAAGTGGTCCAAAGTGCGCACGGTCAACCTCAAAGACCAACTGCGGAAGAAACAGAAGTTGGATGGTAAAGTGGCTGAGTACATGCTGCAAACCAATGTTGGGGATGCTATGAAAGTTCCAATGGGGGTTCTTTTGGAAGCTTTCGCAATTGCAAGCAAAAGCTGCAATTGGAAGCCGGTGCTTCTGTGAGACGTGAAAGCCTGTTGCAGAAGCTGTCATCATCTTCATGAGAATGTGATGATGCTAATAACCATGTTGTTGTTGCTGTTGATGACGATGATGTTGATGATGATGATCATCATCATTGCATACCCACATACACACAGACACACCTACATGCTGTTTTACCATGACAGATACATGGTGCCGACAACACACTGGGGTCACTTAAAAACATTATACTGATATATATATATATATAACCCTAAACTATGGGAAACTATTGTATATTCCTTGTGATGTGTAATGCAGGACTTATATCATCAACCCTAAACCCTATAAATCCTAAACCCCAAACCCTAAAACCTAAACCCTAAACTTAAGGTAATGCATGATTTATATCATCAACCATTAAGATCCTTTGGGCAGACCAGGCTTCTTGGGCAGCTATGAATGGGGTTATAAGTCCCCTAACAAAAAGGGTGATAACCATAGTTACCATAACTATAACCCCACTTATAACTACCCATGGACATCCAAGTAGGGTGTAGCGGTTTAGGGATTATTGAAGGCCCTATTCTGAAGGTTAAAGCTGTCCTTAGGGTCCTTTGGGCAGACCAGGCTTCATGAACTGCCGCCCCGAGGCGGACAGCCGGGCGTCCTTAGGCATCTCACTCCTCGGAGAGAGGAATAACACTCGGAGGTTCATGGGGAGCTATAACGGGTTCCTTTAAGGGATCTATAAGGGTTCCATAAAGGGTTTAGGCTTGGGGTTTAGGGAGTTTCCGAAAATAGGGGACCCTAGTATAGTACCCTAAATAGTAGGATCCTAATTGTAAGGACCCCAAAATAAGGTACCCCTAATTTTCGCAAACTTCCGAATAACATCGAAGACCAACATCGAAGACCATTGATACAGGATTTGCAGAAGTTTCTCAGCTGTAGCCGCGTTTCTAGGGCTCCTTCCAGGCTATCTGTGGGTGGAAGTAAGCTTGGGCGGCATGTCATACTTGCGTTCACGAGTTTTTAGGCTTGCATTTGCCGCAAGCATGCCGAACTGATTTAAGACTTGTAAGGTACGGTCTCTTAGAATTAAGGCTTTCGAAATGCACCTGCCTGTCGTTGATAGTAGCCGTGAAGAGCATTACTAGGGGCGCCCGTAGTTTCCATTGTTACATATTATTAAACGGTACCAGCTCAACCCTAAACAGCAGTTGTGTTAAGTACCTGCATCCTTTCGGCGTTTTGGGCCAGGCACATCATACCGAAGTCGAGGATGCAGAGCTCCCCCTGTGCAACGCTTACATGGTTTCGGCTTTAGGGCCTATAGGGTTTGGGTAGGACAGATAAGGTGTATGGGTGCAGCATGTCGGACAGAGCTCAAGGCTTTGATGGTACAAGCCCCAAATCGAAAGCCTATAAACCCTGTGACATCAACAAAGCGACGTTTGCGTTTATGACGATGTCTGCAGAAGCCAGTCAAAGCCCTTCAAAGAACCCCAAAGCCTGACGTCGTGGTGCTCTAAAGCCTGTGAAGCTTTGCCAAACTGCTTCGTTGCAGGGGCGTCCCAGTTACGTACGTTAGGGTGTTTAGGGACCCCCAAACCTTAACATGAAGGCTACGGCACTGAACACCTCCCCGCCAAAAGGATCCTACAATCATCGTCGCCCTGATCCCAGGATCGGCCTGCTATTTGGGGCTTTTGACCCTTTTGAAAAATATTAGTAAATAAGATCCTCTTAAGCCCAATAAGGGAAAATAGAAAATGCCCCAAAACCCCACCTAGCCTGCTTGGTCACGAAGAAGTTCCCGGGATGCGGATCCGCGTGGAAGAAGCCGTGCTCCAGTAGCTGCCGCATGGAGCACTCCTGAGGCTCTACAGGGAACTCCAGAAAGTTGGAATATGGTTTCATGGTAGGATACCCTGAAACCATAGAAGTGTTAGGATAATCATATTCCAACTTTCTGGCTTTTACCTTAGGTGTCGGCCCCCTAAACCCGAAACTCCCAGCTTGCAAACCAAAAAAGGGTCCAAGTATCATCATGGTGTATACTTAGACTCCCCCAAATATACCCTATAAGTATATACCATAATGATACTTGGACCCTTTTGGGAAAAGCACCATAAGCTCCAGCCCCTCAACCAACCTCTGTTAACTCCGAAAGCCCCTAAACCCGAAACTCCCAAAGCCCCGAAACTCAAATCCGAAACTCCTGCATAGATCGACATCATAAACCTAGACGCATGCATTCATCTTCAAGCTACCATGTTTCGAAGAATGCCGGGTTCCAAAGCCACAGTGGCTGAGGCTTCTGTACATTAGGGTTTAGGGTTTAGTAAATTTAGCCCCGAGTCCACATCTCCGAAACAATGAGATGCGCAGGCTTCAAGGCTCAATGGTGTATAGGCTTAGACTAGACCCAAGAGTAGCCTAGGAATAAAAAGGGTGCCCTTTTTGGTTTAAAGGGGGCTAAAAGGGAACCTAAATTCTAAAAAAGGGAATAAGGGCCTACTCTGGGTCCTAGTAGAGGTGTGCGGGACTAGGGAGCCCTAGACCAGGCGGACCTGATAAGGACCCTGTGGAAGCAAAGCTACTCCTGAGTTTGTACCTCAACCCCCCCAAAAAGTAGGTGAAATAATGGCCCAAAACCCTATAAGGGCTATTATTCTACATACTTTTGGGGTCCAGGTAGGGCGTAATAGGGTTTAATTGGGTTTAGGGTTCCCTCCAACTTCTACAAGACCCTGCCCAAACCAGCAAGCCTAGCCTGAGCCCTAACCGTAACACAACGCGGACTGAGCGGCTGACACTTTTGCCATCCTCTCGAAGTCCAGTCGGAAACCCAATTTGAATCTCAAACAACATCAAGCTACACTACATCTCAAGTTACACTGCTCTTCAAATATCATCATACCCGAAACCACCTAGCAAAGAGGTCTGATAGCAAAGTGGTCAGATGGAAGCCAAGTGACGATGCCAATTGTGATGAACGTCAGTGGATCGAGTCCTGAGCTTTCTTCATGCCATGGCTACTTGTACTGGGTTCAAGGAACTGTAACCCGCTGTATAGACTTTGCTTCAAGAAAGGCTGGAATCCCGTGCCGTGCCTGCATTTTCAACCGGTGACAGAGGCACAGATTACATGTAACTGCGCGACACGTATGTAAGTCCATAGTATGCCATAGTATGTTCTAGTGCGTTGTACGCAGTATATTGTAATAACTTTTCACCTCAAGTGCTCTACCATTACCATTACAGACCTTGAACCCTGCAAGTCCAGCCCCGGCTCCCTTCTAAGCAGGACTAGTTAAGGCAATCAAGGTATCAAGCGGCGTGGAAAAAAACATCTTCTCCATGTTGCTGCAGGATGGGTCGCAACAGTTAAGAAAACTTCGGGACCATTGTCGAAATTCGAAAGGGTCGAAATCCGAAAGGCTCAAGGCGTCAAAGGGACATGGCGAGATTCTGGGGATGTAGGAGGAGTTTGGAAGCTCCGGAGATTCGGGAGCTCTGGCTTGAAGCTTCCACGATCCCTGAATTAAGGCATATACATATATATATATATATACAGCTATTATATATATATACATATACATATAAATACATATAAATACATGTTTTTTTTTTTTCATATCTTCCTGTGACTGAAGGATCCTACTATGGTTTATAGAATACAGCTCCTAGCTACGGGGATATTCTGTGGCTCGAAGTCGTATTAAGGCCCCTATATTAGGGAGGTTCATGGGTAGTTATAAGTGGGGTTATACTTAGGGTGACTATGCTTATAACTTTTTCTAGGGGACTTATAACCCCATTTATAGCTACCCATGAACCTCCAAGTATATTTGGTGGGAGGCCAAAACGGGGGTTTAAGATTCGTGGGGTAGGGATTCATTAATTAGTATGAACCCTATTATGGGAACCCTAATCCCTACTATACCCCCCCATAAGCTACAACCCCTTTTGGCCTCCTATGATCAAGGGAAGTTCCCAACCTTCTACTTGCGGCACCGGGAGCGCGATGCAGCTGCATGGACTGGTTTCTTCTGAAGAAGTTTTGTTTATTTTTTGTGGTTTAGGGTTTAGGGGTTTGGGGTTTGGGGTTTTAAGTTTAAGTCACTTTTTTGGGGGATCTATAGTACATAACATGGCTTCCCTCGAGGGTAGCTTAAATTCAATTAACAAGAACCCAGTGGAAGGATAGGGCGGGGATTGATGTCAAAACAAGACAACAGGGGCTTAGGGTTTTCGGGTTTCGGATGGCTCTGGGTTAGTATGACATGTTAAACTCGGGGCAGTAGGATTTTAGGCAGCTGAAGGTCAGTGTTCAGCACCCGGTAATGACACCCGAGCACCTCATGATGCCGAGCGGCCAAGACCTCGTATCGCTTCCACATCTGTCAGCTTGACGCCATCGATCCACTCCATGACCTCAGCGATGGGCTTTGCGAATTAGAACGGTGTACTAAGTACTACGCTTGACTGTAACCCCTAGAAAAAGGGTTTTCAATTCAACAGAAGTCTTGAGCAAAGGTTCAGGCGTTGGGGTTCTCGCCTTGTGAGATTTTGAGGTGGAGGGAGGGAATATGGCGTGAAGGAGTTATACGGGTTCTATGGCTTGGAGCCTCTCCTGAACTTGGTACGAGAAACTCCCTCTAGGTTTCGGGTTTGGGGCTGATGAAATGCCTGTTATTGCGTCGAGGGTGTAGGGTGCCCCCCCCAGGTTACAGGAATCGAACACGCTTCCGTTCAATTGTGGCGACGGCCTTATTACTTATGCAGAAGCAGCTTTCAAGCTTACCCACTTCAACTACTACAACCCTTTTTGAATTAATTGAGTATCCAACTTGTTGGGATCCGAATTACGAAAAAAACAGGTTTATAGTAGTCTGTAGGGCAGCTCCCGATACGATACGCATCTTCGCAAACTCCCAAACCCAACGACCCGAAAGTGTAACTCTATAGCTTAGTTGCTGAATTCACAAGCCCCCCAAAAAAGTATACGCTTTTGGTTTTATGGTGGGTGATATCATCCCAAAAAGTGCAAAGTGTATTCAGTCAGCTACTAAGATAGGCTTTCACTTGTCCCTGGCACACGAACCCCATTGGAGTGGCATGCATGTAGCCAGTTGAAAGACATGGGGGATAGTCGGGGGTCATGCAAGCCGTGTCCCTGCTTTTAGTGTGGGAGTGCTCAAGGAAATAATAAAAACAACTACTACAATATATTACGAATTTGTGGTTGCCACGAGGTCCCAATGTTCTGCCTTATGCCCTGCAAGGTATGGAAGTGTTCCACGCTAGCCTTCGGATGATCGTTCACCTTGTAGATGTTGAGTTGAGGGTGCAGTACACGGGCTGAATCATTATAGTCATGATATCCCTTTATCGTCCTCTATCCGCGTGCTGCAAATTTTCACCAAGCCCTGTTTTAGCTATTCAGATACCCCGCTGGGTTTGGGGGCGGTGAATGAGCGCGTTCGGCTTTGAGCCTTCAGGCTTTGGGGCGTGTGGTGCCGGGTTGTGTGCTGCCGTCCATAGCACATTTTTGCATGTTTTGTAGATCGTAGACGGTAGAAATTTCAATCGGTATCGAGCCCTTCAATTGCAGGCTTCCTTTGTGGAAACCTTGTTACCTGATAGTCATACTGTCCAGCCCAAAAAAACCCAACACCCTAAACCCAAACAGGGGACTGTGTTGAAGGATCAGGGAGACCCTGAACCTCTGAGATGCAGGGCGCATGGTTGAGGCCTTACCCTAAGGGTCCAGGTATCTCCTTAGGAGGGTCCGGAACCTCCGAGGGAGAGTCCTTGGGTCTCTTTGGGGTCTCAGAAACCCTCAATTTTGAGGTTCCCCAATTTGTTAGGACCTTTAGGGTAACCCGCATCCCGAAAAGTGTAACATCGTTTTGGCATATCCTGCTCTAGGCTCAGGAATCCTTCGGTCGATGGTATAAATCCTGCATATGACCCATAATAGGGAATATACCATGATTCCCATAGTGTAGGGTCCTTCAGGTAGTGCAGGATTTATATCATCAACCTAAGTAGCTAAGGCAGCCAAACAAGGATGCTAACTTCAGGATCTTGGTGGCTTTCGCACACCCGAGGGCTCCGCGTACCCGTATAGTATGTACGGAGGCACTAAGCATATTCGGGATTTTCCCCCTACATGTTCAATGCATACCTGTCTACTCGGATCCTAAATTTCTTAGAATGCCCAACTTTAGTCCGTGGATGGACCCTTACTTGGCAAGTAGAGCCCAACATCTTTGCTCCACACACAAGCTTTGAAGCATCCTACACTTGCACTGAAGGGCCAAAGCGGAAGATCTCAAAACAGGTTGAATCTCCGACCTGTAAAACTGCAGCCCCAGGGACACTCCCGCGCCCTTTATCCCCTGTTCAAAACAAATGGGCCTGTCCAAGTCTTGCAATATTGACATTCGTTGGCAGCCCTGTGTGGATTTGGAATTCAGGATTAGGGCGGAAGCCTTGGGGCAGCAGTAGTCTCAGCCTCGGGCGATAACTTGTCTTGTGGCCAGCTTGGGGTACATGCGAGGGACCTGTGCTTCAGATTCTACGGCTTAAGGGGTTTAGGTTAGAAGGTGGCCCCACCCTGTAATAGTGACTGCAAGGATGACATTAGGGCCCTAGATATTCCTATTATACCCACTATTACAGGTTGGGGGCCCCTTCTAAGGTTTAGGGCTTAAGAGGTTTAAGGTTTAGGGATTTAGCGTTTGGGGTTTAGGGATTAAGGGCTTGAAAAAAAAGGGGTCTCAATAATCAGAATAGGACTCGACCCCCATTGTACTATATACTTATCATAGTAAACAAACCCCACAAGAGTATCGGCAATTATTTGGGCTCCTAGAATACGCATCGCGGTTTACGTAGAACCACGAGCCCACCTCTTGGGCCTGTCTTGCGCCTGAAGGACTTTAGGGTTGCAATCTGAAAGCCGCATTTAGGGGTTTAGGGTTGGAGTCGGAAGTTGCATTCCGCAGTCTCATGTTTCGAACTTTCGCCCCTCAATCATCAAAATGTCGTAGTGAAGGGGTTGCGACCCCCAGCCCTAAACCTTCGACGTCCGCGCCGGTTTACCCGCACTAGCACGATGGAGGATACTTGGGACTTCAACCCGATGCTCCCAAGGCCTGTAAAGCACCCATCAACTGCACGAAAGGACCGTTGAAAGGACAGCTACAAGAGGTCACACCGCGACAAGGCTTGCACAAGCCTCTACAAAACAAGAGACCCGTCCCCGAGTTTCCATAGTTCAGGCCTTCAGCTTCGCTTGATCTCCGTAGAGCTCTCGGAAGCGTTGGGCATTCCTTCGCAGCCACGGGCTGAGGTCTTAGAAAGGCTGACTTCGAACGAAGGGGAAAAGGAGGGACCCTTAATGGGGACCCCTACCCTATACTGGGCTATATAATGGGCTATATAATAGCTATATTAAGGGTATATACCTCGGGGTCCTCATTAAGGGTCCCTCCTTTTGCCCTTGGATTGAAACGAAGGAGTAGACATTCCACCAAGCACACCCATCCAGGACGGAGCTCGACACTTAAAACTAGAAAGACGGAAAACTCGAATTAAACCCGAACGACCCTCCTTGTACCCTCAAATAAGGGTATATGGTCCCAAATAAGGGGCATTTAGGGTCTAATAGAGCGTAGATGGAGGGTCTAGGAGCCCGAAGGACCCAAGTGAACAATGGCTCCAAAACCGAGAGCATCTAATCCGCTGTATCATTGCATCTTTGTTGCTGCACGTGTAGCTGAAGCTGCATTCAGAATCATGAGGGTAGTTCTCGAAATTCGGGTCCCTTCCCTCAAAGGTCCCCAATCTAAGTCTATGCTTCAGATGCAGGGAAAAAACCACTTGGCTTTTCAAAGTAGTACGGCACCCTTATACAGAGGAACCTAGAAGGGACCCTCATCTAGAGAACCCTAAAGCAATCATCCCGCACCCTCAACTAGATGCAGAAACAAGGGCCCCGGATCCTAAACTCTGAAGCCGAACCAGGGGTCCTTACAATGAGGACCTTACTGGTTTAGGGCAGAGCCTATGCTGGGGTTCCGTGGCCGAAACAAGATGAGGATGAGCCTGATCCCAATCTCAAACGCCAGCAACAGCATCGAAACCGCGGATATGTCGAGCCCTTCCGGCCCCCTTCCGACTAAGCAATTTCTAGCTTGGCCCTTTAAAGCCTCTGAAACATATTCGTAAAGAGGGTCCTATTCAGCCCAATAAGAGAAAATATAAAATTTCCCAAGGGCCTACCTAGATTTCTGAGGGTTTAGGATGGTTTAGGGCCCAGCTTCGGCAGCAGGGGTGGAGAAAGCCGGGCTCAGGGCTCATAGGCCTACCTTAACCCTGAAGAACCTACCTTTTTAGGGCTCCTTACTAGAATTTCTTTATATATATATATATATAGAAGTCCTTTAAACACGGTTGATGATATAAATCTTGCATGACCCATAATGAGGAGTATAGCATACTTCCCATAGTTTAGGGTCCTTAAGGTAATGCAGCATCTATACCATCAACCGAATGTAGGTTCTTCGGGGTTAAGGTAGGATTTAGGGTTTCGGGCCCGGCGGTTTGGCCTAAAGGGCTTGGCAAAGGACTGGGGTTGAGTGATTGGGCATGCAGCTCCTTCGGTTTAGAGTTTAGAGTCTACCCACAGGCCCCATAGTAGTTCCTTATTGGGGGTTCATGTATAGAATATTACAAGGTAATTCCAAAAAGGAACTACTTTGAAACCTCTAGGTAGGGTTGACATGACGGATATTTGTCCACGGTGGTATCTACCGCTCCCCTGAGACCTCATCAAGCCTTATCGACTTCTTTAGCCGACCGAGGAGCTTCACCTCCATCTCCTTGGTTCATACTGTTGATGGACACAATCCTGCATTACCCATTATAAGGAATATACCATAGTTCCCATAGTTTAGAGTCCTTAGGGTCATGCAAGATTTTTGTCCATCAGCCGTATCTAGTTCATGGTCGGGTTCGAATTTAGAATGTACACTTTCATTCCTCATTAGGTTTAAGTACCCATAAACATGTAAAAGGTTGCCCAACTATGACAAGACATCCGGAAGTGTCAGACGTGTCTTGCTTTAGGCTTCAGGGTCAAGATTGCAAAGCAAAACCTATGCTTTGACTGCAACTACCAGGACCCTCCTTGTACCCTCAAATAGGGGCATATGGCCCCAAATTAATGGGTATTTGGGTTCAATAGAGGGTAGATGGAGGGTCCAGGTATTCTATGCGCTTCAATACTGTTCGGGCTCAGGATCTTCGGCGGGGTGGGAACTGTGCATTTCGGATCTACCTTCGATCCTAGTACAGATTACTACAGCTCGAGCTCCGTTGATCTGCTACGATATAATGCGTTCTCTCTCTCTCTCTCTCTCTCGCTCCGCGGCTGCAGGCCTAGACCACCGCTCTGATCACCTTGAACCCTAAACACTCAGCTTTCTTCCCTGAAACCTATGACCGTAGACCCTACAGTTTTCAAGCTCCTCGGCTACACCCTTGAAACATGAGCTCCGAAACTACCCCCCCCCAAAGAGTGAAGAACATGAACTTCTTATTGATCAGATCTATCTATGTACGTAATTATGCTTGTAGCTATGCTTGTATTCGCGATACATTGCGGTCAATTTCGGTGTCTGTTTACACTATGTAGTGTGATTGTGCACATGTGTGTGTTCATCTGGTGGTTTCAGATTTTCAGTGTATTCTGTATGTCTTCACTTTTACGTATTCATAGCTCTACATATACCTATCTGTATATCAATAGGTACAATTAGGCTTGAAGCTGCATTTATTTTCCTCCCTGTCTTCCGGATTCATTTACTGTATTTACAGTTTGCATATTCCCTAAACCCTAAAACCCTAAACCCTAAAGTATACCGCTGCGGGCCGGAGGCTTGAAACATCAGTATGTACTTTAAACAACCTATACTGTTGTGATGAAGCCAAATATCATCCTAATATGGAGTCTACATGCACCCTGGGAAAAAGTAGGCTTTCGTCGAAATATAGGTAGAGTCATTGGCTCGCAAAAAGCCTGCCGAGCGGCGTAGTCCAACTCCTCGAAAACCCGCTGGCCAAAAGCATCCACGAAGCCGATAAGGTCGCTATTCTGGAGGCCTTTGGGAAGTGCTGCACGTGGTACGGGTGCAACTGGGTTTTTGGGTGTAGGGCTGTCTTCAACGTATCCGGGCTCACGGGTCCAGCACGACTGGCTCGCTTAGGGTTGAGCTGCTATGTGAATGTGATTGAAAAGATTTGGAGCAACACGCTGCAGCATGGTACGAGCTTACCTAACGGCACAAGCAGCTGATGGCCACCACACTTGTCATACATCCGGGTTGATTAAACTTCGTCGTTGGGGCTCTGTCAAGGCTTCAGTTTTGCGGGTGTGTGTGTGTGTGTGTTTCATCTTCACGGCTCGGCCTTGGCGTTTAGGGGTTCAGGGCTTAGGGTATGGGGTTTAGGGTACAGGGTTCAAGGTACAGGGTTTGGTGTTTAGGGGTTCAGGGTTTAGGTTTCGGAGGTTCCGACTCGTGCGTTGAGTGCTCATGTTGATGCGCTCTGGACAGGGAGCTCCTGACACGAGTAAACTCACAGCTGCAGCCCATGATCTGATTCTCCAGTCCTGAATTCCCCTAAGGGTCCAAGGAGTCCTTAGTATGGGTTTTTGGTACCTAAAACGGCCTCAAAGTCCTATAATAGGGAGTACCTGGACCCTCTGGGTTCGTCAATAACTGGAAGCGAGAACCCAACATCCTCCCAATCCTCTGCGGCCCTGCACCTGCGGGGAACTCCAGAAAGTTTGAATATGGTTTCATGGTAGGATACCCTATAATTTACCATAGAAGGGCTAGGATAATCATATTCCAACTTTCTGGCTTTTACCTTACACCCTGAACCCCTGAACCCGAAAGTCACGAACCCCTCAGAACCCTCATAGGAACCTTACTCTGCTTGTTCAGGCCCTTGTGTAGTACTCAGAAGCCCGGAGGTAAAGCACAGAAAACAAAAGCCACAAGCCACCTTGCTCCCAACTAACGGTTTAGGGTCTAGGGCTGCAAGGCTTTGTGGGGGGGTGTTGAATTCTTCGAAGAGTCCATGTACCGGTACCTATAGAGCTTGCCTAGTCCTTTACATCAAATCCCATGTCTGTACCTGCAGGCTTAGCATATACTATCCGGCACATGGAGCCTGCGGGAGAAGAATGCTAAAGGGCTGTTTGTACTGCTTATGTGAACTTAGATCCGCAAAACCATGCAACTAGGAACATGCTGGTGTTTGGAGGCCAATTCCATTAGGGTAGTACCGAGGGGGCGTTTCCGAAAATAGGGGACCCTAGTATAGTACCCTAAATAGTAGGATCCGTATTATAAGGACCCCAAAATGAGATACCCCCAATTTTTGGAAACTCCCATATGGACCGTCACCCCCAAACCTTCATCCCGTGACTGTTTAGCAGAGCCGAGAACTTTTGTCGCCTTCGGGGAGGAAATCGTTGAAGGACATGAGAAACTTGGCGATCTGCCTGCGGAGGGCTGTTTACAGTAGAAGCCGAAAAGTTGGAAACCCAATAGCCCCACTCCATAAGAGTAATGCAAAGGGAATCCCGGCACTATTTGGCCTTAATCCGGTTTCCAACCTTATGAGGTTTGCTGAATTGGGAGTGTACACGGACTTTATTGATTTACATTAAGGCTTCTGCAGGAGTGCTGTTTACAGGTGCGTGTAGGGATTGCGTGGGTTGTGTTCTCAAGCTGTCTGTAGGGTCGACAGAGGGGCATCCAGGGGTCTGTTGGTGCTGTTGCCAGGTTTTGTGGTTTTCACAAGGGTTCTGCAGGTCGTTTCTGCAGTCGTCTTTGCTCCGGGTTTATGAACGAAACCAGGCCCATGATGTTCTGAGATCTGCATTTACCTACACAGCAAGCTGCGGCCAAGCAACGACGATTACAACCTCCAACCAACACTGAAGTTCGTACCACGAACGGAGCAAGTAGCAATCAAAAAGCCTGCGGATAAACCACACACCGTTACAATCTCATGCGCAGTCTACGTAATCCACATCCCCATGCCCAGTACCATCACAATCACACAAGCAATGGATATGAGGCAGGACTAAAACAACAACAACTCCATCATACACATCATCAAAATAGAAGCATGAAAGTGAATGACCCTAGCCACAGATTAAGCCATCCTTTCGGATCTGGAAAGGACCGTTACTGCAAGCCTAAATCCCGGACCCCTGGCACCCAAACCCTTGAAAAACCCTAACCCAAAACCTGATAAGATGCAGAAGTGCTGACGCCTGGCAATAACAAGGTCGAGGCTAACGGTCTCGGCGAGGTTCGGCCGTTGAACCTGGCAAAACCCTAAGGGTCCATGTACTCATATAGTACATCCATTGGCCTTAAAGTACTCCCTATATAACTACATTGGGCCCAAAGTATATGCTATCCCTTCACCCGGAATAACCTACCTTTTTAAGGACCTATATAAGGAAATCATAATAAGGAACCCTAAAAGGGTAGGTTATTCAGGGTTAAGGTATGGGCACATGGACCCTTAGGGAAAGGCCTTTTGAGGCCTTGGCCTGAGGTTGCGGATCTTGGGTCCGACGCAATGGAGGTCCACGGATTTCTGAGCATACCTGGACCCTAAGGAACCTACCTTTTCTAGGGTTCCCTACGATGATTTCTTTGTCCTTAACAAGGTAGGTTACTTGGGGTTAAGGTATGGGAGTTTCTGAAAATAGGGGACCCTAATATAGCACCTAAATCGTACGATCCTTATTATGAGGAGCCCAGAATAAGGTCTCCCAGTTTTCGGTAACTCCCATATCTAATCGATGAACCCTCAACTCCCCGATCCGCCTTCACTGCCACGCGGCTGCCATCCAAGAGCTCTGCCTTGTAGACCTGAAATACAGTTGATGATATAAATCCTGCATTACCCATAATAAGGAATATGCCATAACTCCCATAGTTTAGGGTCCTTAAGGTAATGCAGGATTTGTATCATCAACAGTAGTCTAAGTCTGCAGCTAGCGTATGCAGGTTTAGGACTACTGGGGTTTGGGGGGTTCTGAGAAACATTCTTCTTGCAAAACTCAGTTATGAACTCCCCCGAAAACCAACCAACGAACTTGCTGTATGAGGCGTGGCACACAACAGTTCAAATGCGCTGGGGTCACCCGGAACCCTGCATTCCCGGATTAAAAACCTCAAGCTTTTCCCCGAATAGTACTCGACCTTCAATCGAAATGGCAATACGTCACACCCTGGTTGCTTGCACCTCTAAGCCACATATTATGCTGAGACGTACAAGGATTGATACCCTGAATCCGCAACCCTGCTTTGTCTTAGGAGCCCATGACGGGGATCAGTATGCATACCCTTTGTCCCAGCAACTGTAGCCCTAACGAGCGTACACCCGTATGCCCCGAAACATGAAGCCGTGAAAACAAGATTTTCGATACCTTGTACAACCTCATGACAGTCCTCTCAAAACCCCTCCAACAAACAGTATACCCTATACAACCCGAACCCAAAACCCCAGACCCTAGACCACAAGCTCTGAACCCTAAATCCCAAACACCAAAAATCTCCTAAATCTCAAAACTCCAAACTCTTACCTAGACCCTCCATCTACCTTCTGTTAGACCCTAATTCCCCACGATTTGGGACCATATACCCCTATTGGAGTCTGCTGGGAGAGTCTACCTATAGTCTCCATTGCAGTTCCTTTTGTTGGTTAACCAAAATCTCTACTATAGGATCCTAACCATAAAACTGGTTAACCAAAAAAGGAACTACAATGGAGACTGTAGGTAAAGTCTAAGAGTTCTCTTTTCGGCTCCGCAGCGCGCCTGGCCCAAGCTGGCAGCAGCCACCGGCTTCGATGCGAAGGTCCGGAAACCTAGGGGATCGGGCTCCTTTATTGAAATGCTTCCTTCAGGGCTTCCTTTAAGGGTTCTTTCACGGTTCTGTAAGGGCTACTATTATCAGGGTTTCTTGATGTAAGGGCCACAAAATTATGACGGGGCTGTCTGGGCAGGTATACTATATCATGTGCATACACATGAAGAGCTCGAAGCAACAGTCTTACTAAGTTACGAATTAGTCATTCAGTCTTGTATATTTATTTCTTCAAAAGCTAGGTTTCCTAAACTACTTCGGCTGGATTGGATTCTTGCTTGGTGTTCGTGTAGCTACGGGTTTAGGGGCTATGGGTTCAGGGCCGCGGGGCTCAGGGCTTTAAGGTCTTCAGGTTTGGGGGTGTTTCTTGAGAGGCTACAACCGTTTAGAGTATGTAACTTTTGCAGTTTGCTAATGCCACATGTTTTGCAGTGTCATTTGTAAAAAAACTCGTTTTCTTCAGAACTGGTGTCTCGCTCACAAGTCCATCGGGTTTGGTTAAAGACCCAACTGTCGGAACTGGGCTTTTGTAATGAAACTTACTGCGCGTAAACTCGTTTTTGTACTAGGACCTCAACACTGACCTAATCCCTTTAAGCCCCGATGCTGCAGTCTGAGACTTGAGAACTGCTGACGTTTTTGGGTGTAAGGCCATTTGGGGCTTGTGACTGCGAGGGGTTGCAGGTTGTTCGCTGATGACTGGTGCAAAGGACTTGTGTGTCTCCCTGTGAGCTTGTGTAGGTTTGCTTGTTCAGGGTTGGGGGTTTGATTCTGGAGTTTAGGGTGTGGTGTGTATGTGTGCGTTCGTGCGTGTATGTTGTTGTTTCAACAAACCCCGCGGAGCTTGTGGAGCAGGTCGGTCAAGTTAGCCTTGGTGCCAGGATCCAGATCGCTGCCTATCTGTTTCCAACTCCGGAGATCCACGAAGTGATCCAACTGCCAACTGTGTTTCCTTGCGAATGCTGGATATTTGGACTGTGACCATGGAGGGTATAGCCGCAGCATGACTGCCTTGTGTCCGATGAGTTTGTACCTCGCCAGAACAAAGCTCGCAAAAGCAAAGATCCTTGTAAGACGATTTGCATCGTCCAAAAGAGAGACGATGAGGATGTCGAAATCCGTTTTGCTGTAAGGCAGCCTGCCAAGGCAGCCGCCATGCTTCCGAAGACCCACGCCGAATCCGCCCCTGTGCATGTGTGCTGCCTTCTCCTGGATGCGCTGCTGACAACCCTGCCAGCTGAGCACAGAATCCACTGCAATCGTCAGACTAGCTGGCCGATGAATCCGAAGCCCGACTGATGCAAATGCTGAGACAAGTTGGGAGTGCGAATGCTTTTTCACCTCTTTTGCGGCGTTGTGGAAACAGACTCTAAGGCCTCTGGAGCGTTTTTGCGACAAGCTTTCTTCGTAGGATGCCTGTTCCTCGGTCGGGAAGTTCAGAGATTTCTTCAGTCGGACCGGGTCTTTGCAGAGTTGCCGCAGCTTTGCATCGAATGCATGGGCTGCCTCAGTTTCGTGCACAAATAGCCCCGCGTGGTGATGCTTCTCTTCGAAGATAACGTCTGCCCTAAACCGGCTGAGCCGTTGCTTGCCAGCTCACGCTGTTGGATCTGCTTGCTGCAGACCGCAGCTGACGAAAACTTCTCCCTGCTAGCCTCTGTCGCAAGAACCAATGAAGGGACTGCACAATGCTAGCGTTTGGCGGAAAAGTTGTATGCATAGTACTCCCGGACGACCGACCACCAGAAGCCAAGGCATGCCCTTGTCGAGCCAATTCTTCAACATGTCAACGTGTCAGGCACAAGCAGTCCAGCCCACCCGCCCTCCTGGACGGGGAATTTCCTGCTGGAATGGACATCCCTGAAGCACGAACTCCAATCCCGAACCGTACACCCTCTCACCTTGGTATACTCGCTTGGCAATGTGTGGTGGTCGTAGATCCCATCGCAGGTGACGAAGGTATTCCTTACACAGAGATTGGGGATATACTGCTCAATCTCATGCCGGGTTCATCAATATTGTGTTTTGTAGACCATCATCACAAGCTGCCATGTGCTTCCAGAAATCATCTTTAACAGGTCTTGGAGCTCCACGTCACCAAATAACCATTGTTAAGGAAACCATCTATAGATCCCTAGTAGGGTAACGTAAACTGAATTCCCTCACAAGAACCCAGATAACCATAGTCCATAGTGTATGTATCCGTCTCGGATGAGATCTTCTGAAACCGTATTCCGACTTGTTCCTCCATGAAAAGCGATCGCTAGAATCATATTTATCAATAACAACTCCTTCGACAACTCCTTACACAACCGCGAACCAAAAGCCCTGCAGCCACAGCTTCCGCAAACCTGAGCCCTATACATCGCAAACCCTGAACCCTAAACCAAGTCATAAACCCTACCCATAGGCCCCATAGTAGTTCCTTTTTGGGGTTCATATATAGAATATTACAATGTAATCCCCAAAAGGAACTACTTTGGGGCCTCTGGGTAAAGCCTAAACCGCTAAAACATCTTCCAATGCCAGGCTACGCTCGGAGAGGTCGCGAATGCCCAAACCTTCCAGAACCTCGAACATCCAGGATTCGGGTTAAGAAAGGGGCCTAAAAAAATACCTACATTATTTCGGGGTTGAGCTTATAATAATGGGCCCCAAAAGCCTACGTATTCTAATTATTAAGGCCCCTATATTAGGGTTTTGCAGGGTTTTTGCGGAAGTTTAGGGTCTTGCAGGGTTAAGGGTTTGGGGCTTAGGGTTTCTGCAGGGCTTAGGGTTTAAGACTTAAGGATTTTGGGGGTAGGGTTTGGGGCTCAGGGTTTAGCCTTGGAGGGGAAGGCGGTGGTTGGGGAGGGTTTAGAGGTTGTGGATTTGAGGGGAGTCCAGTTTGAGACAGGCAGGATGCGACTGTACGGGTTTTATGCGGGCCTTTGCTCTTGCCAACTCAAGAGCTAAGACGCCGTGGGGTCGTCACGGTGCTGGTGGATCAAACCCATCTCACGAGCAATCCTGTCTGAAGCAACATAAGGGTCAGCAGGATGTTGTGTGCATGCTTCTGACCACAAAGCACAGACTCAAGCTGGAAGCGGAAAGAGCGAAAGTTCCTTTCTCTCCGACATTCCAAAGGACGGCGTCAAAAGATGATGGCATCTTCATCCTTTGGAAGCTCGCAAGGCACGAGCTTCATGGAAGATAGCTGCTCTGTGCTGAAAATAGGGTTTTGCGTTGGAAGGGGCCCCAACCCTGTAATAGTGAGTATCAGGATTATATTAGGGCCCTATTATATTCTATTATACCACGATTACAGGGTGGGGGCCCCTTCTAAGGTATATCTACCGTGCTACGTAGTGCTTTAGTCGGCCTGAGTGTGTTTCGGAGACAGCCACCCAAACCGGATCCGGGTTGGTTGTTCGCTCCGACCTCCTAACACATAACAATATATACTTCTATAATAGTATTAACAAAAATAGTAATAACAAAAATAATGATAATAACAAAAATAATGACAACAACAATAACAAACAAAAATATATTAATAATACTAGTCATAAAACAGCAAGCCTAAAATCTCGATTGCTGAACGCTTATAAACACAGTGGGGGCCTGGCCCATGAAAGTTTGGTGAACATGTTGCCGTACGGCTGATGATAGAACTCCTGCATTACCTTAAGGACCCTAAACTATTAGAATTATGACATATTCCTGAAAATTGTGGGTAATGCAGGATTTATATCATCAACCGTATCACTATAGTAAGGAACACCATATTGACTCTTAACTCCTGAGCTGTTGCCCTGACCCCTTTGCAAAACTTGGGAGTTTCCGAAAACAGGGGACCCTACCTACAGTCTCCGTTGTAGGTCCTTTTTTGGGTTAACCAGTTTTATGGTTAGGATCCTATAGTAGAGATTTTGGTTAACCAACAAAAGGAACTGCAATGGAGACTATAGGTAGTATAGTACCCTAAATAGTAGGATCCTTATTACAAGGACCCCAAAATAGGGTACCCCCCCCCCATTACCGGAAACTCCCATAGCCCTATAACCCTAAAACCCTATAACCCTAAACCCCCCCCCAACCCTAAACCCTGTAAAGCTATAACACTGAACCCTATATCCCTATAACCCTGGAAACTCCCATTTGGGCGCCGAGCCAATTTCACAGCCTCGTTATGGTCGAAGGGCGCCACGCCGTCCTCGAACACTTGGAAGCGCACCCGGCCCCTTTTAAAAAGGAGTTGAGGGTTCATCCTGTAAAGGCATCTATAAGGGTTTCAATTAAAGGGTTCCTATAAGGGATCTATGGGGTTTAGGGTTTGGGAGTTTCCAAAATAGGGGTACCTTACTCTGGGGTCCTTATAGTAAGGATCCCACTATCTAGGATATCATCTTCGGGTCCCCTGTTTTCGGAAACTCCCCTTTTGAATGGGGCATGGAGGTATAGTATGCTAAACATACATGGGAGCTACAGGGGGTTAATCATTCCAACCCCTAGGGCTGAGGACGTGAGGTTGACGGAAAGTTGAAGGTCCAGGAGTTTAGGAATTTCTCATCAAGAACTGGCTTCACGACTTGGTATATGCTTGTGGCCAAAGTCACGGTGAAGACTTAAACTAAGTAACAACTGCGAAGAGCTGATGCACCCACTGAACACAAAAGACAACAATTTGCCGCTCCCACCCAAACCCGCAAACACGCACCCACGCTCCCCCCCGCCCACCCCCCATCCCCCCGCCCCCCCGCCCCCCACGGACAGTTTGCACTCTCCTGCTCGAATGTCCTAAATGGATTAATGGTAGGATCCCCTATAATTTACCTTAAAGGGGTTACGATAATGATATTCCAACTTTCTGGCTTCTACCGTACAGCGGCCAACCCAAATCGAGAAAGTCAAAACTTGAAGCTCCGACTGCACGTAGCCCTGGCACCTGCAACACCTTCAGATTGTAAACTCTACTTGGAGGTTCACGGGTAGTTATAAGTGGGGTTATAATTAAGGTAACCCCTATTAGGGGACTTATAACCCCATTTATAACTACCCATGAACCTCCAAGTAGGGTTCCGGCCCTCTAGCAAGAAAACAGAGGTAGCGAATACCTAAGATCAATGTGAGGGTCTGGGTGCAAGCGGGCGTAAGCCTTAAGCCCTGATATTATATTCAAAGGCCCCAACCACCGAAACCTGAAAAATCCTGAACTCTCAATCCAAACCCTAAGCCCTGCACGCCAAAGCTTACGAACACCCCGAAGTCTGCAAATCCTGAAAACTCCACTCCAAAACCCTTAACCCTAGAGCCCAAACCCTGAAGAGGATCCGACAAGTGTCCTGGAACTCCTGAAACTCCGCTAGGAAAATCTCGTTGAGAACGTCGGGACGCACGGACAGCGACTGACCTCGGGTACGGACCGCATTTCGGTACCCTGCTTCGAGGTTAAAGCAGCAACGTCATAAGTCATGGTATAGTAAGGTTTTGAAGAGGGGTGTGCTTCGAGATTAAGCTTTGAAGTGTTCAAGGCTTCGAGGCTGTAAGGGTTTGGAGTTCATGTTTTTTCGGGGGGTTAGGGCGTGGAGGTCCGCCATTGCAACTACTATTACTGTTGACACTGCAACTTGAGATAATTAATCAATTGAGGACGTATATAAGCAGCACAACTTCCCCACATCTTGAAATCTCAACCTGACAAGTTCGAGAAGCGGACCGCTAATCGTGCAGCTAGCCGGAACATGCGATTTCGCAAGATCCTCTCCCAGGGGCTCAGTCGCACGCAGCAGGCGGCCTCGACAGACAAGGCCCAGCACCTGTCGGGCCCTGTCGGCCACAGCGCAGGCTCTCATCGGACTCTGCCGGGATGATGGCCTCGCGCCCACTCAGCATCTGCACGCGGACGTTCATGGCTCAGGTTGCAAAGTCTGGCGCTTCTTACACAGGATCCAGGCTCCAGGCTTTTTCTGCTTCTAATCATGCTCGCCCTCGGCCATCTCGCCATCGGCCTTGGGCTTGTCCGCCTCGATCATGGTCATCAGGACTCTGGCGTGCCTCCATCGTGGATAAACGACCTTCAGCAGCCCACAACCGTCGCAGACGATCGATCTCGAAACGCTGGTAGCAGTAAAAGCTTGAGGGGTTCAATTGTTTCAATTTGAGTTCAGAGTTGAATCTCCTGTTACGGTGCGGGATTTCGGCTATGGCTAGGGCGCTTGGACCCTTTAGGTTTTATGTTGGAGGGTTTGTGGTTCGGCTTCAAGGGCAGCAAGTCAGACCGTCAGACCACGGTGGTCGCTGCACGGCTGCCCGAAGCCCTGTACCTTGAATTTGACCCCAAACCCTTGAAGCCCTGAATTCCAAAGCTGTGAGCCAACAAATCTCCGAACCCGTAGTTAACCTCCCGGCACCTTCAACCGTTAGGCCCTGAGTTCCTTAAATCGTCCCCAAACCAAAGTGCCCTCAAGCTTTACGCCCCTGAACTGCTCCGCACGACACACTTCTTTGGGATTGAGTCGTTCCTTGGGCTATACTTGCGGACTATTCAACGCAGTTTGGCACGAAGCCTTGGACCAAACCCCTCATTCGAGCCCCTTATAAGCACCGTACACAGTTGGGCATGTCAAGGAATAGGAACCCCCTATAAGGACCAGACATATTGAAGCCTGTACGTTTACAAACGCTCTCGGAACGAAGGAACCCGAAAAGGAACCCTAAACCAGCAAACCCCAAATCCTTATGGAACTTTTAACCCGTACAGAAACTAACCCTCATAACCCCTGAAACCCTATAGACGCCATAAAACCCAACTTCCTGCCCTAAACCCTGTAAAACTCTTCCAGGCCCCTAACACCCGAGTCCGTGAATCCTAAACCGTGTGAACCCCCCCATAAACCCCTAAACCTCGAAGCCCCAGACCCCTAACGGATACAAACCCCTAAACTGAATAAACCCTACACCCTACACCCTAAACACTAGATCTTAAGCTTAATTCAAACCCTACAAACGCCTAAGCTGAATAAACCCTACACCCTACACCCTAGACCTTAAGCTTAAATCAAACCCTAGAAGCCCCTAAACTGAAAAAGCCCTACACCCACCTTAAGCTTAAATTAAACCCTACAAGCCCCTACAACTGAATACGTGGGCTGCCGGACCCAGCTTCACGAAGGTGGGGCCCAAAGAGATGAGGAGCTCCTGGGGGGTCTTTCTTGTGGCTTAGGGATTAGGTTTTAAGGGGCTTTTAGGGTTTAGGGTTTCAGGGTGTTTTCGGGGTTTAGGGTTTAGCCTGGACCCTAAGGAACCTACCCATTGTAGGATTTTCCTGATATGATTTCTTTATATACGTCCCCAGAAAGGTAGCTTTCTTGTGGCTTAGGGATAAAGGGTTAAGGGGTTGGAGTTTGGGAGTTCGGGGGTTTGTGAACCCAAACCTTTAACCCGACGAATCTTATGTCTTGCTATGACGATATGATGAAACGAGGCTTATGTCTCACTACGACGATTACCATTAGAATGAGAAAGTACCTGATCCAAATCCGAGTCCCTGCCGGCCCCTGCACTTACCCTTGGTTAGTAGGGAATGGAGGAATGGGGTACAACGAAAACTACTGGTACTACCATTTCTTCCATTTCCTACTAACCAAAGGTAACCCTAAACCCTAACCCCTAAATCCCTATAAACCATAACCCCTAAATCCTTATAAACCCTAACCCCTAAATCCCTATCAACCCTAACCCCTAAATCCCTATAAACCCTTATGGTAGCGCCTAAATCCTCAAACCCTTCCTACTAGCCAATGGTAAGTTAAAGGGATCCTTACAGGGGTCCATAAGGGATACCCTTAAGGGTACTATAGGGGCCTTATGGTTCCTTTAAAACGATCCCTAACCAAAGGTAAGTTATAGGATTATTCAGGCCCCTCTATTATAGTACCCTTCTAGATCCCTTCTAGTAACCCTTATAGACCCCTTTATACGGCCCCTTCCATTCCCTACTAAGGAAAGGTAAGTGCAGAACACCGGTCCTTCAGCCGAACCGCTGCCCTTCTTTGGAGCTCCTGCGGGCTCAAGGGGCTTTGAGGCTTTGCGGGTTTAGGGCTTTTTTGAAGTGTTTCATGCTAAGGGTCTTAGGGGTTTAAGGGGGTTTGGGGCCGTTTAGGGGCTTTTTATAGGGGTTTAGGATAACGTTAGTGGCTTAGGGGTTTAGGGCTTTGCGGTTTTGGGCCGTTTAGGGGTTCAGGGTTCAGTTTGGCAGCTTGGAGGTTCGGGGGTTTAGGGGTTAAAGACCCAAAGGGTCCAAAGTACCGATATAGTAGAATGTAGGGTTTCTATATTCGGAATTACTATCATGGTTTGGGGAAGTATTCCCCATAACAGTACATTGGACCCTTTGGGAGATTTGGGTTGCCTAGAAACTCCAAAAACCCTTGGATACCCCAAGGGTCCCTTCGGGTTAAGCCTACAAATCGAGAAGTGTACCAATCTGTAATTGAAGGCATGTGGCTTTAGGTACGAGTTTTGGGGTGTCTGGGCTGTTCTGCAGCAGGGTTTACGTTTACCGGATACTACAAAATAGGATCCCTCTTGGCTCTATACTAGGGTGAATAACAGGACACCGCACAAAAACTGGCTATGGCAGCTTAAGTCTATAAGATAGGGTTACCTTGCACATCACCAAGCCTGAAGCAAATCTGCAGTCGAACCTTGTCCAAAACCTTATACACCCATAGTAAGAAAGGCCAAGAGAAATTGAAAAAGCCCTCGCAACACAGCTTCTGGGTAGAACCGCAAGAAACTCTGGATCTCTGTCGGAGGCATTTAGCACTGGACCGCCAAGAGTACTCTTGCCTGCAAAGTCGTGATCATTGTGCTATCGTTTTCGACACCAGAACCTGAAAATCAAGGCTCCGCCCTCTGACCCCACTGTGACACAACAGCTAATCCCGAATAAAAGTAATATTGGTAGCCAATGCAGCACGAAAAAGCGTCAGATCTGTGAGAACCCACAGGATAGACACATCGCTTGTATTTCGCGCGGCCCACCTAAAATCAAGTATCAACCCTCAGCATACCCGCTGGTCTGCTATCGTGCTTCACACAAGCCGAACCTGTACCCGTGACCATCTGGTGCCACTCCCCTCAAAAACACTCTTGCTCTTCGGCCTGTCGCTTAGATAAATCAAAAAATCATAACGAATAAGTACACATGTATATATATATATATATATATATATACATTGCCCGGAACATCCCGGTTGAGGGGAATCAGCGTTGGGCTCTCGGCGTAGGGTCGTTGGCAGGGTTAGGGTCATGCGACACCAATAAAAGGGATCCTAATTACATGTTTATGGGTCTAAGGGCCCCAAAAGGAGGGCCGATTATGGGCCTGCATACCACACTTCACGAGCCCTTTGGGTCTGTTTTAACCCTTAGAGTGTTTGCGAATTCCGCTGAGACTCGGCCCGTTGCCAAAGACCTAGATGAGTGCACTCTGATGAACCCAACCCCTAACCGAACCCCTAAACACTACGCAACCTAAATTAAAAACCCCTGTGTCTCAGCCGCTAAACCCGACAATACCTAAACCCCGTAAGGCAGGAAACCCCGGGTCTGGGTGCCTCTGGCTGCTCAGAACCTATCATGACCTGTCGCGAACCATCTGCTGGCTTAGGGTGTCGTAACGGCTTATAGTGCCTAAAGTTCCTGAAGGATTATGAAATTATGAGGCTTGTAAGGGTTCAGGGTGTTTGAAATTAGGTTTTGTGCGGAATTAGAGGACGTCTAGGGCTTTGGAGGGCTGTGGGCTTTCTGTCGGACGACCCATCAGACTAAAAGATGCGTTGGTAAGGACAGCTTTGGGGGCTGCGTTCTGTCAGTTTGCACTACGGCTGAGGCTGATTGTGCCATATTGCAAAGGTCATTGCAGTCGAAGGTCAAATGCACGACAAAATGTTGGTTGCATCTCTGCATACTGTCCTTCGCGCTTTCAGTGGTGTTTAATCTGCCGCTAGCTTGAAAACCACAAACCCTAAACGGATAGGTCTGGGACAGAGAGCGCCGCTGTAAAACCGAAAACCTTCACTTTTTAGGGCCTGAGACTTGGGTTCAGGGACCGGCAGGGTGCGTAGCGATTGCTCTAACAGCCCCAAGAATTTCGAGACATTCAACATATACCCAACCTCTCCATACACACAATCCAACTTTCAAGAAACAGATCAGAGGCTCCAAAACGAGGCACAACGCTGGAAAAAGCTCCCCTAACCCTTTAACATACTCCGTTTATGTGGGTCTGGCCTGATCCGCCACGGCGCCCACGCCTGGCGACTCGCATCATCGGAAAACCGTCTCGTCCAGATTTTGGATGGCCGGTTCATGGACCAGTGCGTTTACTGTAAGGTTCGAGGGGGTCTGTAAGCAGTATACACCACATCCAGTGAATCTCGTCATATGGATGCTATCACAACCTGAGCATCACGAATTCTCCTCCCAAAACCACTATAAACCTTCCAACAAAAATTGCTACAGAGGCTCTCTGGGTGTGTTACCATGTTAGTTTAAATGACTGAGAATGAATCCCGAAGGTGGTATATCTGAAGGTATAAAATTGTACACTGTGCAGGGACACTCAAGGCCCGGCCTGTCTGCAGGGCCACGCTGAGGAAAACCAGGAGCCTGGGAAAAAACCGATGTGGCTGGCAGGTTGGGGGCTCTTTAAATGGGGGGGGGGGTCCTTTTAAGGGGTCCTTTAAGGGAGAATAGGGTTCCTTGGGTTTGCTTGAAGAGGGCTTCTTTAAGTGCAAGTAAGAGCGAATATAAGACCTATGTGTTCATGCGGTTTGGTGTTGGGGCCTTAGCTTGTGAACTGGGGTCTTGGTGACCTCTTGAATCCAGAACCCCAAACAATAACCTACGTATTTTGGGGACCCATGTTTGGAAATCATAAAAAGGAACTCATAAGGTAGGGTTGTATATGGGGTTCAGGTAAACCCTCCAAGGCCCAACAACTCGTGGTCTTCCTTGAACTCCCTTCGGCCTGATACTAACATCTTCAGGAAGCAGGTGTAGTGTTTAGTGTCTGTCGGGATTCATCCGTCGGGAAACCTCTTGCCCCTTGAATCCCTAAACCCTGAACCCTAAACCCTGAACCCTAAACCCTAAACCCTAAACCCTGAACCCTAAATCCTAAACCCTGATCCCTAAACCCTAAACCTGAATCCTCGACTCCTAGACCCTGAACCCCGAACCCGCTAAACCTCCCATTTCCTTTGTCGAAAACACGCTTTTATGTCTTTGCTTGTGCCCCGCGTCTGTGTAGAATGGGCTATCCTAAATTTCGCTAGGTTGTCCCTAGCGTGCGGCTGTCCTTGACAGATGTGATCATGGTGACTCCCTGTTGTCCCGCCCGTGTTGGACACTCTAGCCACGCACTTTTGACTTTTTAACAAACCAGTATAACCTCAACAATAAGACCCATACTGACCCCTGCTAAACTGCTAAACCCCCAAAGCCCTGACACCCCGAGCCCCGAACCCTTAACCTCGGCCACCCGCCTCCACACCACGGCGAGTGGGCGCCATGCGAAATAATCCTGCATTTTTCTTGCGCAGCACACTTGAAAGTCTAAGCGCGCACGGCTACAAGTCAAGTAGCTGTAGTTATTCTTGACCGCAGTCCTTTAAAGACCTTTCGGGGGATCATAATGATTAAATACCAAAACACCCTTACACTATCTATACCCCTTTCTGAAGGCACAAGGAGGGCCCCATAGTACCTTTTGAGGATTACCTGATAGGATTCTACATATGAACCCCCTAAAGGAACTACATTGAAGCCTTTTACACTAGGGAACCCTTCCCCCCCATGTTCCCTAAACCCTAAATTTAGACCCTAAACCCTAAACCCTAAATTTAGACCTAAACCCTAAACCCTAGGGAACCCTTCCCCCCCCCTATGTTCCTCGAGCACTTTCGCATCGTAGGCGAGCCCCAGTTCTCCTGCGCCAGCCATCGAGTCGGGGGCTTCCTTTTCGGTTTCCTTTACCCATAGGCCCCATACTGTTGATGATATAAATCCTAGGGTTCCTTTAAAGGGATCTATAAGGGTACCTTTAAGGGGCTCCTTGAAGGGATCTATAGGGGGTTTAGGGTTTAGGGTTGATGATATAAATCCTGCATTACCCATATTAAGGAATATACCATAACTCCCATAGTTTAGGGTCCTTAAGGTAATGCAGGATTCAAATCATCAACCATAGTAGTTCCTTTTTGGGATAACCCCAAAAGGTTCAACATATGAAACCCAAAAAGGAACCACTAGGGGGCCTGAGGGCCTTGGGGTAAGGCTTCCTTGAAGACTCCTTTAAGAGTACCACCCTCTTCATGTAGGGGCCTCTCATGACTAAATAATGCTGTGAGGGTAATTACGTATAATCTAAGAAGAAAATTAGGAGCCCTATTACCGATTATTCAGGCTTCAATATTTTATGCCCCAAGCAGTGGGAGGAATAGGTTTGGAACAACGCTGCTGCATGCCCACTTCGAGAATTCAATCTGGAATGACATGCTTGCTACCCTTAGTTGCTGAGTTCATAAGCCCCCAAAGGTGTACACTTTCAGCTTTATAGTGGGTAATACTATCCCAAAACGTGTAAAGTGTATCCACTCAGCTACCAAGTACATGCGGCCATGTTCAGATTTATCAGCTCGGCGCCCTGAGCTTTAGTCAACGTCTGTGGTCTTAAGCGCCCGTGGAGCCACAATGAAAATGCCATGTCTAGTCAAGCCTCGGAGCTTTATGAAAACCCATTTAAAAAACGCTCCTAAGAACACTGGAGCTGTTCGAAATGAACTCAGCATAAGTACAGATGCGGTTGGTGCCGATATTCTCACGCTTCTCATTCGTCGGCACCGGTCTTTGCATTCCGATCCGTACTATCATCGTCATGATGCTCGTGTCGTGCTAGTCGAGTTCGAGATCGTCGTCGTCCCAAAAATCTCCGACCTGCTCGCAGCCGTGACTACTACCTATCATTGCTGGCAATGGAGTCAGAAACATCAGAAATCTTCATGGTCAGCCTGTTCTCATGTTGTCATCAAGGCCGGGCACAGATGCAATCTCCGTCCCTTTCAAGACTCACCAGTGAAGGCATCATATTGACCGCGACTCCAAATGCACAGAAATCCTGGGCTGGGGTTCCTCCGCAACAAGCTAGAAGTCCGAAATCGTCAAGCATAACGCGAGAATCGTGGTTGACGAAACAACAGATCGGAGCTGAACCGACCCCCTCGAAGAGCAGCGAATGCTTCGAGTACCTCCTGTATTATGTGTATATACACACATACATACATGCATGCATCAATGCATACATACATGCATGCATACATACGTACATATATGGGATTAGACATATACATAGACGATATATGCATAAAAATCCTCCGCCCATTGACAACCTCAAGTAAGCCAGACCCGTAGCCGATGCCCCCGCGAGACGAGCGATGCAAATCCCGAATCCCCATCGTGGCCTAGTATAATAGAGGGGCCATAATAATTAGAATTGGGTTTTGGGGCAGATCATACTATAATATGAAATAAGGAATCCCCAAAATAGTATGGGTAATTATTAATTAAGGCCTCTACGTTAATCCTTTGACACTGATTCTGTTAAAGGTCTTGACAACACTGTTCAGGAAGAGCAAGTATATACTGAATCCTTTGACCTTACTATCCTATGCAGAAGTACTCAATGAACCTCAGAATACCTTGCTGGAACATTATAGAACGTATAGGATTTTTTTCGGACCCTTAAAGACTAGTCTATGGATCCTTAACAGCTAGGCTCCCCTGTTTCCTATCAGTCGGTCTTAATAAGGAAACCCCAAACTGAAAAGGGCAAAAGGGCACTACTCTATGGATCCTTATTATGCAACTGGGTGGTTGTCAAAATTAGGGTCCCTTTTGGGGTACCCTACATAATAGGTGCCACTTTATAACAGGGACCCAAAAAGGAACCCTAATTTTGACAACTACCCAACTGAAGCTGAAATCGACTCCTCCGGCTCGACAGGCTGCCCTTCGACGCAAAGATCGCCAGGAGGCGGAGCACCGCCCGGCGAACCTCAAAAGGCTGGGAGGTTAACATTCAGTGTCGCTCGGAGTTTGCTTTTTTGGGGACATATGGGTTTATAGTGACTAGAGTGCATTGATTAGGCGTTTACTTCAATTCCTTTGTGTTTAGGGCTTGGGGATATATTTTATGTTTAGGGGCTTGGGCTTAGGAGTTCAGTGGTTTAATGTACTTGGATTAGGGTTGCAGGCTTAGGGTAAGGTGTCAAGAGCTTGGATTGTATAGTTCCCGTGTTCCACGTAATTTCTGCTCGACTAACAGTTTATGGCAGTTTATGGATAATACCTACATAAAGTATGCATTGCAGTTTGCTTTCTCTGGTAGATACTGCTGAGTCAGCAGCAGGAACCCTATCGTTACAAGCATGCATACATACATAAAGACAGATAGACATGTACATATACATATACATATAAAGCTAGAATATGTATATATATATACACACACACATACCTATATACAAATAGTTGATGTTCAGTGTTTGGTAATTCAGGCCGAGGTGCCCGAGCGAATGTCGTGGCCGCGCCGCTGCAGCGACAAGCGCTGCGGTCGCGGCCCAGGTCGCCTACAAGTGGGGGGGGGGGGTTGGGTTTAGGGATCAAAATTAAGGTATATAAGGTTTTACGGGCTTAGGGTTTAGGATTAAATTTTTCTCAGGTTTGAGGAGGTGGTGGTGGGGGAGTTGGGCTTAGATCTAAGGATTTGGGGCTGTAAGGGTTTGGGGATTCGGAAGTTAGGGCTTCAAGGGCTCCCTGAACGAACCCTAAATGTGTCCCCAAGGCAGAATAAGAAGGAAGAGGCCGCCCCTCGAACTGCTGAGGGCAGCTCGAAAGGAGATAGGCCCTCGAGGGCTGGTTACCTACAGATTTTGGGGTGTTGTAGGGTTTAGAAGGATTGACAGGGGTGCATGTATAAGTTTACTGCATTGTGCATCTATGTAGTCGGCTACAGGATCATCACTATATACGGTATAAGGAACATTAACCCGCCAGCAAACTGAGAGTAGGGTCAAAGGGGTCTCTTACGCAATTCGAACTCTGGGGACTCTTTCATGCCTATGTTACGGTTCTGCTGGTTTTGGCATATTTCACATTATTGTTGCCGTTCTTGTGATTATTGTTCGAGGTAGCAGTAGTAATCGTAGTAGTAGTAGTAGCAGTAGTAGTTGTAGTCGTCGTAGTAGTAGTAGTAGTAGTAGTAGTAGTAAGTAGTAGTAAGTAGTAGTAAGTAGTAGTAAGTAGTAGTAAGTAGTAGTAAGTAGTAGTAAGTAGTAGTAAGTAGTAGTAAGTAGTAGTAAGTAGTAGGTAGTAGGTAGTAGGTAGTAGGTAGTAGGTAGTAGGTAGCAGGCAGTAGGCAGTAGGTACTAGGTAGTGGTAGTAGTAGCAGTAGTAGTAGTAGTAGTAGTAGTAGTAGTTGTAGTCGTAGTAGTAGTAGTAGTAGTAGTAGTAGTAGTAGTAGTAGTAGTAGTAGTAGTAGTAGTTGTTGTTGTTGTAGCGGTAGCTGTAAACTACGATGGTTACTACGGGTATAAGCACTGTCAGTATTATTGTCACTGTCTGGTCGCTGTTATTGGTGTCGTTGTTGTTGGTGGTGGTTGCTGTTGTTGTTACTACCACCTCCGTTTTCAGTGCATCAAACTTGGATCAGTATTCGGCAGTCTGTACCAACTATATGTATGGACATTCACGGAAGTGCAGGTGATGTCAATGCCGTTTCTTCAATGCTTGGCAGAAGTTGGAGACTTGAAGCCAACTTGGATGACCCTACAAACCCTCAACCCTTGAACCCTAAACCATTGAGCTCGGCACGTTTCAGCCAACCCAGACTTCGCCTGCTCGGTACCCGGATGCCTCAAGGCCCTACCTATATTCTCCATTGTAGTTCCTATTTTTGGTTTAACCAATTTTATATTAAGGATCCTAAAAGGTAACCCCCAAAAAGGAACTACAATTGAGACTATAGGTAAATCCGAAACCTTAAGCCTCGAACCCTGAAGCGGCCTACATCAACATCCTGATGCCCCAGAAAGGCCTGAGCCCAATCTTATAGGTCGGTGTTCCTTCAATGGCTCCTTTACGGATTCCCGTTTCATCTAGGCTAGCATAGTAGACAGTATGACACAAAAGAATTACAAATGCAGCTCCGTTTACAAGAATCCCATGCAAAAGCACGGAAGCTGCAATGCTCCCAGCACCTAACAACCCGTAAACAAGAACTGATCACGGGCGGCCATTCCAAAGATGGAGCATCTGGCTACTTGAAGTCCGGGTGGTGCCGGCATGGTTGCATGCATGCTTTCGCATCGGCCGTGTGCGAGATGCAAGGAAGGCTCGACCATAGCATCTTCAGGACCCTTGGATCACGCAGACGTGCGTGATGTATTTTCCAAGACGGTCTCCAAAATAGTTTTTCGAATCGAGGTCCCGCCCAGCCACCGCGAAGTTTCTTCGCCAGGAGTGCCCGTTTGACGAACTGTTCAAAGTCGCCTTCCTCGACCCTTTGGATGACGCGGGTGAGCTCATCGCCAGTGACAAACTGGTCCGCGGATTCCAGAGAGGCATAGCCGCCCTCACAGACAAAGCCCGAAGGAACCCTGGGCCGCAGGAGAAGCGGCTCACATGGCCCTGCCCGGTTTGGGCGAAGCCACAGTGGCCATAAGCCAGGATGTGCATACTGACGGAAGCCCCATATGAGGTGCGCAACGTTTCTTCAGCCATAGCAAGACACACCCAACTAAATCCTAAACCCTAATCCTGAGCTTCCAATCGCGGATACTGCCTGACGACAGGCGTCCCATGGTACTGCTCGCACAGTCGGCTTTCCTGGCACTGCATTTTGGGGTTTAAAGGTTTGGGGGTTTGAGGTTTAGGGATTCACGCCAATGCGCTTCGTTTCACAACTAGAAGAGTTGAGGCTGTCAACTCTTCGAGGCGGCTGTCTTCTCTTGTATAAAGGTCCTGGGCTTCGAGATTCTTAGGGTTCGTGCACTAAGCATGTGGGGTGTAATATGGGGGCCTTAAGAACTTGTGTTTTCGGAGGTATTGTAACGTAATTAGGAGATTGCAAGGGCACACTATTAGATAGGTCTTGGGGATAGCTGGGTGCGGGTTTCAGGGCCTGGCTGTCTGATTGAAACACTGGCATGCAGGGGGCGAGGGTTTTGGACGGCAGTTGCAGACGTGAAGCGTGTGGTTCCTGTGTGCGAAGCATTGAAAGAAACGGAGGATGAGCCCCAAGCCTTGAACTTTCGTGTTGAACCTCTGACTGCAGCGCCTCGGGGTGTCGCGAGAGACTTAGGTGCCTTGAGTCGCAAGCTCCGAAAAGGCAGGATCAAAACATAAAACCATCACCCCAAGCCCCAACGACACAGGGATGCCTATGATCCCCAATTACTATGGGGGCCTTAATAATTAAAACAGGGATTTGAGGCCTATTATACTGTAAATACAATAAGGAACGCCCAAAATAGTATAGGTATAGTTATTGAGACTCTATAATATAGAACCCTTATAACTTATAACTTATAGTGGCCCGTATAGTAAACCTTAAACCCCCAAAAAAACAGCACTCTAATTATTTAGGCCCCTCTTGTTAACAGGCAAGCACTTGCCCACAACGCGGCCTCCTGTGCTCCCCACGACAGGTGCCGTGGGAACGTGCCGCGTCGACGCGGGCGAAAGCATTGTCCGCTAAAGAACGAATTTGGTGAATGGCAAAGTAATTTTGAATGGAGCCAAGGGCTTAGGGTTTAGGCATCATGATCTCGGAAGTTGTCCTTGCTAAATATTCCGCACTTCGGAAGCTAGAATTTGTGAGCAGATAAGCGCGAAACGCCGTCTTGGGGGTTCTGAACGACCCGACATGTCGGCACCATCAGGCCATGCCTTGAGCAGGCATCTGCAGACGTTTGAAATGCAAGCCCAGCGCAACCCCTGAACCCACCAACCCGAAGCCTAAGCCATTGATTCCATAAAAAGGCCCGATCCGATGCTACAATGTCGTTGACATAAATATCGAAGTCAGCTCGCTGTCTGTTCCAAAGGATTCAGCACGTATCCGGGGAGATGCTTGCGCAAACCATCCAACAAAACCGTGATATAGATTCTATAGATTGCCTCCCTTATGGGATAACTCTGCTTTGGGATCCGGGTTGGCTTTCGGCCAGACACCGACGCCACCAAAACACAGATGTGAGTTCAGGGTACAAGTTGGAAGGCTTGAAGGTTCTGGGGTGTAAGGTCCAAGGTTTAGGATTGTGCGGCTACCCTGTGTTTCTAGCACCGGATCTGAAACATGAGAACAAGGCGGTCATGTTAATCGAACTTGTCAGCTGAAGGCTCTTTGGCCTGAGTCCATTTTCGAGCCAGTCTTCAGGATGCTGTGGAGGAAGCGGGTACCCTGAGACTCCATTATCCTGTTATCACTGAATGAGGTGCTATTCAAGTATTCCTAAAAACCTAGCAATCAGTATTTTTTTAAAAGGTTTTAAAAATTCCTTAGTGGGATGCTCTTCGAGTTCGGGGTATTTTTCCCCAAGACCCTGTTGAGTCCAGCAGCACATCAAAAGCACACGACGCAGCATCAGCCGAAAACCCAAACACAAATCCTTCGCTGAATGCGTGACGTCCCTAAGCTCAGCTTCTAGCATGCTGGAACTCACCCAACGGCAAAACCGCTTTCAAGGGCAGCTACGACTTGTGCTTATAAAGGGTGAGTAGGGTGTTGGGAGTCCGCTTGCTCCTTCGTCCTGCTCGTCCTCCTACTCCTCCTTCTCCTGCTCGTCTTCCTACTCCTCGTCCTCCTCGTCCTCAGTAGCAGTTACTAGCAGCTAACGACATCAATGAAAACGGGGGCAGACAAATCACGCACAGCGATGATACCAATTTCAAGAACACTAGCTCTCAAGAGCCCTATTATACCCTACCTAAAACATCAAGCCCTGAACCCCAAACCTCAAACACGAAAACCAATGGGCCCCTGCTGGACACCGAAGGCTGCGGACTCGGCCGCTGGCGTGGCGCTCGTTTTTCTCTCCCACCGCCCGCCCGTCAGAACGGTGCATCCATTGCGTGACGTCCTTGCAAAGCGGGACTGTTTCAGAGCAGAAGGCAGAAGAATGCACTACACTACACACAGTACGAAGGGTACTGCGTGAGGGTTTGTTGTCGAAGATACGGTACCTGTGCTCACCTCACCGAGCGTAATGATATTGATGTGGTTCGCCTTGACAAACTTGGCAATGATAACTTGAAACCAATGCTGCTTTTCAATAAAGTCCACATCCCAGCGTGCAACACTGTTGAGATCGGGCTTTGCCGATCTTCCGTGGCCGTACTTCTCACCATGACAGATACCAGCACATTGACATCACCTGCTGAAATAAGCACGCATTGGTGCACACTAGGTCCCGCGACAGTTCGCGCATGTTGGGCACGCGGTGTCCGCAAGCTTGGAGCGGAACTCAGAACTCCCGTATTCGCCTCCGGTTGCCCAGCAACTTCGGTATCTGAGTAAGTCAGTCACCGAGCCAAGTGAGGGGACTGCACACTCCATATCCCAACACAACGTTCAATTCTAGATCCACGCAAAGAAAGGAGGGTTGCAGCAAAGGGCAACATCTTCCAAGTGTTGAAGGATGATGGACAACTGTGCACAATCCAGACTTGAACGGATAGGTTCCAATGCTTGGCGTAACTGGCGCGGTGCTTGCTGGCGCGGCGTCCCATGTCTCCGCTTGGCTCGATATGCTTCGGGTAGCGGCATCAGCCCTGCCCTTTGCCAGACTGTGTTCGATCCATGCCGCGAAGTCAGCATGAGCGCCTTGGCCCTCCAACTTCCCGCATAAGTTGCGCCAGAGCACTCCCGCCTCCTTGCCACACAACCATCCACCCCAAGCACACTGTGCAGTGTTCTCGCAAATCAACATCGCTTCAACTCCGCCAAGAATGTCAACATCGCACCAGTTCTTGTATGCGGCTGGCGTGAGGTACACAGCAAAGTAATACATGGAAGGGTTTGCTGGCTCCAATTTTGTTGCTTCAAACCCCCTGCCGCCATCCACACGAGCGTCCATGATACTCCGGGCCGCTAGCCCTAACGGCCCGCTGTGCACCACCAGCTTGACTGACACATCAACATTGATGGTCGGCGGCGCGAATACGTCAGTCGCTTCATCTTCCATCGCGCAACCCGACATACCAACAAGACTCGGCTTGCACGCGTCCTCCAGATCTTGACTAGCAAAGGCTTCATGACCGCCCCTGCCATGAACAAGAAAAACACAGCTCAGAAAATTAAGGGTGGTGGGTAAAGGTTCACGAAGCGTGGTTAAAACACATAGGTCTGGAGTGCAAGGCACGAGCGTTCTGATTTTCAAAACAATGCAGCCCAATGACAGCAAGCTGTTTGGTTATTATTAAACCATACTAGGGATCCTACTATATAATTTATGGTATATTCCTTAATTCAGGGATACTGGAGTCTCCGGGCAGTACACGGACCGAAGTCAAAGAGGCAACGTTCAACGCCTCGCTTCACTCCGCCGGTCGCTCGGCCTTGAGGCAAGCCTTCGCGCCTCCCAAGAGAGTTGAGGGTTTAGGGTTTAGGGGTTTAGGGGTTTAGGGGTTTAGGGGTTTATGGGTTTAGGGTTGAGGGTTTAGGGTTTAGGGCTTCCTTCCGTTGTGTTGACGGCTTACGTATTCAAGTTCCGTGTTGTGGATGTTTTGGGTGGAAAGTGGATTCAGGAATTTGGGTATTGGAGTTGAGGCTTACTGCTTTAGGATTCCGTGTTCAGAACGTTTTATTGATTGAGGGTCATATCATATCTGCAGGCCACAGCTAAGATGTAGACCCTGACAATCAAAACAAGGCTCCCTTATTTTCTTCAAGGATATTGTAGGTTTCAAATTTTGGGACGGGTTCTAGGGGCCTTACTAATACTTGGAAGAAGATGTTGTAGGTAGCTTAGTGCAAGATTCTATCAAGGAGTCCCTTGTTGAGTTGTTGGCAATTCTTCGAGACGGAGGAGCTGGAGCCCTGAACCCCCGAAGCTCTGAAGAGCACAACCACCCAAAAAGCTACACCCCCCTAATAGCCTAAAGCCCTGAACCCCCAACAAAAACAAGGTGTATTTTTGTAAACCTTTTACTAATTCCGTTCAGGATAGAACGAACCCAGGTTCAGCAACAAGCGTTTGGATGCTCTTAGACCCAAGGGCTCTGAGTATCAATAGTGTAACGTTTTAAAGCTCTGAAGGCATACAAACAGCGTCACCCTGTACACAAACAGTGCTGATATTGCCACCAAGGGGGTTCCCTGAGCCCGCAAAACCTTTAGCTCCAAACGTCTCCAACCAAACCCTATACCCCAAAACTTTCAAACTGCACTCCCAAAGAATCCGAGACCCTAAACCCTACAGCCCTCCTTTACTTCTCCTTAAGCTCGTGCTGGGTGGGCCTTCCGCCAGCAGACCATGGTCACTAGCAGCGCAAACAAGCTTGTAGCCTGAAGGGTGCTCGGTTCTCAAATTGTCTTTACACGGAGGGAGTTCAAAATGGCTTACAGTTTTTGTAGCACTTATGTTGTGATTTGTAGGGTTTATACGCAAGCTTACCTCAGTTGGAAGGGTGCTATAGGGTTTCCCTGAAATCTAAGGACTCATATACTGCGGCTCTTGGGCCCAAAGACCATACTACATAAGGCTTTTCTATTTTGATTTTTAGGGCTTTATGAAATCTTGCAGGCTTGCAGCCTGAACGGTGTACCCAAAGACTCCAGTACCCCTTAACTAGAGAATATGCCATAAATCATATCAGGGATGCTACTGTAATCTAAGGTACATTCCTTAACTTAAAGGATATTGCAGTCTCTGGGTATTTAAAGGCTTGCGGTTTGTAGACGGCTTCAGAGGTTGCAGAAGGGTCTCCTCAGGTCTCAATGGTACTTGATACAAGGGGCCCCCACCCTGTAATAGTGGTATAATTGGACTATAGTGAACCCCAGAAAGTGGGAACATAGATTTAGGATGAATAGTGCTGGGATTCCCTCTACCTTACCTGAAGGGCATGAGGGCAATGATGTTCCAACTTTCTGGCTTCTACTGTATAATAGGGCCCTAATATAATCCTTACAGTCACTATTACAGAGTGGGGGCAGCTTCTAAGGTACTTGTTACAAGGATTCTTACCGGAGTTTAGTCGAATATAGGGGCCTTACTCCTCAGAACAGGGACTAGGGCCGTTGAGACCATCGGGATGTAGACTTGACAGGAAAGGATCCGTGGGCTTCCGAGGTTCATGATTCCTAAACCTTGGGTGTTCGGGCTCGCGAAGTGGAGCTTGGGCTGCACAGCGCGTAAGGGATTCATGCGGTTCATGCCTCGAGAGGTTGCGAAATTAGATATATCAAGATGCAATACTTAACCTCGCATATCCTAGCAGAAATTCTTTTCTGCAGGGTCACTGGAAAGTCTTTGCTCTACTACAATGCTCTACAGAAAGACCGTTTAAAACACCAGGGCACGATAGATTAAAGCAGAGGCACTTAAAACGCCCTAACGCTGGAGCCCTAAAGCCCAAATCCATAAACCATCAACCGTCAAACCTCCATCCCGGCCCTGATGGCCCTGATATGCAACAACCCACCTGCGCGATACATGTCCTCGACGTGGCAGCCAGGTACAAGAAGGCCCCCAAGCAACCTGGCATCGGCTACGTTTCAAGAGACTCGGGCTGAGCGCTTATGGGGCGTAGGGCTAGGGGTATAGGGTTTAGGGTTTATGTAGGCGATTTTGGCTTATGGGCTTAAGAATTCATGAGTCTTACCTAGCTGTTCGAACTCCTATATCAGTCCAGGTTTTGCGGCTTCGCATCTATGTTCGTTGAGGCTCTGAGACCATGCTTCTTGTGACCTACCAGCTCAATCTTGGAGAGAACCGATTTATACTGTTTCTACAATCATCTATATATATATATATATATATACATATATCCCAACAACAGCAAAGACCTTCACAAGTACACAACAGCCGTATACAAGCCTAAAGCATAAGCCCAGAGCCCCAGGATCGGCTCGGCCTGTGATGCTTCTTCGCGGCCGTCTCAATGCGCTCAACGTCTGCTCCTGTCGCCGAAAGGCATGGCGGAACAGGGCGGTTTAGGGTTTAGGGTTTAGGGGAAAAAATATGGGGCATGGCGGAACAGAGGACTATGTGATCACGTGGACACTTCGAAAATCGCAGCTGGGACGTTTCATTTAAGTTTGTTGTGTTGCTAAGAATTCGAAGCTGGCATGTCGGGGCTCGTGGCTCATAGGCAAAAGTGAGAACCATTTAGGTTTTTGCGGTGAGCGAGGATGCCTCTCAGGTATCCTTGATGGAGCCCTGAACGTCCGCACCAATGCATATTTGGATAGAGCTTGTCGAGGCGCTGATGGTGCGGTTTAAACTTCAGGTTTCAAGCGTTATAACCAACACCAACCAAACTGTGTGTAATCTAGAACTGATTGACAACACATTCAGCATTTCATAAGCAGTAGCTTTTCAACAGAATTAAGGGGTCGATATTTGGAGGCCTCAGAAATTCTTTCCAGGGAGATTCTGGTCACTGTATGTCTTACGTTCATGGATTGGGGCCTTCAAAACCGCCGGTAGATGGAAGTACCACTAAACCCTACTATAGGGGCCTTAATAGTTAGAATAGGGATATGCGGCCCATTCTACTACACATATAATAAGGAACCCCCAAAGTAGTATTGGTAATTGTGGTCTCTATATTACAGCCTACCTCCAGCCTCTAAACTAGTTCCTTTGCATAGTTAGACATTGCGTCTGGTCAGGATCCTAGAACACATGTCAACTGTCGACATCACTACCATGGCATCCCCGGGTAAAGGTGGGGCCTGACAGCCGCATGGCATCCACGAAGATCATGTCAATCCCCTCCACCTTTGAACGATCGGTGTGGGAAGAAGGGAGGCATCGGTTCTGCTCATGCCGTTCTGCTCTGTCTGGAGACTCCAACTTGCAGCAAATCACGTGGGTGCGTACATACATAACACACACACACACACACATATATATATATATATATACATAGGGCTCGAATGGCCGCAGCAGTGCGGAACTATCGGTAGCCCCAGTGCCCATGGAAGGCACGCCTTCGCCTGGTGCCGCGCTTGCGAGGCGGCATGCAGATCTTTGACAAGACGCTGACAGGCGAGACGATTACGTTGGACATTGAGGCCAGTGGCACGTTCGACAATGCCAAGGCGAAGTCCCAAATTAAGGCAGGCATCCCGCCCGACCAGCACCACCTGATCTGTGCTGGCAGGCAGTTTGAGGGCGGCCGTACTCTTTCGGATTACAACCTGCAGAAAGAATCGACCCTTCACTTGCGCCGCACTTGCGAGGCGGCATGCAGATCTTTGTCAAGATCCTGCCGCTCACCTTGGAACATAGAGTCCCAGACAAAATTGGTCCCATAATGTCCCATACCTACACATCCACTTCATGTTGACGTCCTATGCCTCGGTCATCTCGGCTAAGAAGGCTTACCATGAGCAGCTGTCAGTGGCGGACATCACCATGTCCGCTTTCGAGCCGGCAGCCATGATGGTCAAGTGCGATCTACGCCAGTGCAAATACATGGCCTGCTGCATGACGTACCATGGCGACGTCGTTCCGAAGGATGTGAATGCGGCATGGCGGCTACCATCAATGACCATCAACACCCGATGTACCATCCAATTTGTGGACTGGTGCCCCACCGGCTTCAAATGCGGGATTATCTACCAGTCGCTCACCGCGGTGCCCGGTGGTGTTTTAGCCAAGGTCATGCGTGCATACACCACGATCTCGCACGGCACTGCCATCGCCGATGTGTTTTGCGAATCGATCACAAGTTTGACCTGATGTGCTCCAAGCACGCCTTCGTCCACCACTACGCTGGAGAGGGTTTGGAAGAGGGCGCGTTCTCTGAGGCTTGCAGAGACTTGGCGGCCTTGGAGAAGAACTACGAAGAGGTTGGCATCGAAACGGCTCAGCTGACGGCGAGAGAGGGGAAGAAGACTACGGCTATGAGTTCTGAGAGCCTCGTTGTTGAGCAGATGCTGGCCTAATAGGTTGGTCACCAGCATGGAACGATCACCCTGAAGGTGAACTGCCATGTTGAGTGTAAGTTTGTCTTTAGTGCAAGAAGTTAGATTGTTGCTGTTTCTGCTGATGATCACAGTCGCCTCGGAGAGGGCGCTGTGTCATCCCAGGGCTTTGTTCTTATGTGGGCATGAGATAGCTCCCTGGCCCAGGAGAAGACTCGTTCCACTACAGGGCGATCTCCGCACTGTCGTTTGATGTCTGTTTTGTGGCAGCTGCGATAGCACGGTTGCCTGGTTTTTCCTGTAGCTTCTAAAGCTTCAGGCCTTAGGATTGCCCCTTAATTTTGATTGAGTTGGAGACGGCTTTTGCCTTCTACGGTGCCGGGTCACTCTCCACCATTGTTTAATCCAGCGGCGATGCTTGCGCTAAAGCTGGGTTTTGCAGATGTCTGCGCCAGGATTGAGAGGCGCGAGCTGTAAATACACAGGCGCCTGCCTTCCTGAGCGCATAATGCTAACCGTTTGCATGTCTAATTGGGCCGCGTACTTACCTCTGAAGGCACGGAAATGGAAAATACATATACATACTACACATATGTTCTTGTACTTGTTTTCCTCCTGCTCCGCGCGAGCTGTGTACGTATATGCGTTTCAGCAAACGCAGGTCAAGATGAAGAGCTTTGCATCCGATTGGTCGGTCCTTCTCCGGTAGCAGCTAACCAGAGGCCCCATCGTAGTTCCGGTTTGGGAAAACCCTCATACGATTCTAAATACGAACCCCAAAAAGGAGCTAATATGGGGCCTTAGGGTAAAAGCAAAAGATCACATACGCCGACCGATGACCTCAGAAACAACCTTCAACCAAGACTAGACCCAAGAGTAGCCTAGGAATAAAAAGGGTGCCCTTTTTGGTTTAAAGGGGCTTATAAGGGAACCTGAACCCCAAAAAAGGGAATAAGGGCCTACTCTAGGTCCTAGAAGAAGAAAAACGGCACTCGTCGGGTTCTCCATAGCCTTCACGATCTCGCGGATCCGAGCGGCGCCCTCGGGCGAGTCCACCTATGAAGTTCAAGTTTCGGGTCGGACCCGTCTAAAACTACGGTTGATGATGTAAATCCTGCATTACCCTTAAGGACCCTAAACTATGGGAAATATTGGGAATATTATGGGTAATGCAGGACGTATATCATCAACCGTGTCGTTTCGCGACACTGGCAAGGAGCTTCCTGCGCTAAGTCACCCACATCTGTGTAGGCTGAAACCTACAACATCTGGGGAGCAGTCAAGCAAAATAGATCGAAGCGCGAAGCCGCCTTCAAGGAAGCCTTGCAAGAACAGGAACCACAAGCATCAAAAGAAACAGGGGCTATGATGAACCTCAAACCCCTGCAACCAGGATAGGTTTGGCTGCTTGTGAAGGATTATAGTAACCAAAAACTCGAAGATCTAAGTGCCTCTAAGGAGGGACTCGATGTCAAGCTTTCAGAAACTTTCACCCTCCCCCCCCCGGAAGAAATTTAAAATACCAGGAAGACAAATACGGGTCATCTGTAACCCGAAATAACCATCAACTTTAAATTCTAGTCCTTAAGAGATACTATACTTCGACTATAGTACTCTAGTCTACTCCAAACCCTGATCTAACGGTTGATGATACAAACCCTGCTTTACCCATAATATTATAGGGACTATTCCAAAATTCCCAGAATGTACGGTCCTTACGGTAATGCAGGATTCGTATCATCAACCGAATTTCTAGGGTCATCAAGGTACCAGAAGAATCAGCCAACAGCACAAAGGCCAAGACAACGACAACGACAGACAGGAGCGACATTCGGTTATCCTCCCTCCGTTCCACAAGCTGCAAAGCGGAAGTTTCACCTGCTGTATAACTTACAAGGTGTTGAACCTGTAGATCATTGCCTATTTACATTTGGGGTTAGAAGGTGTGGGGGGAAAGGCTTTAGGGTTCAGGGTTTGGAATTTGAAGCGCTGGCGGGGTAAGCAAGTTTAACTCAACCAAACCTCATTTCGAGTGATAGCATGGAGGGCCCTGTCCAAAACCATCTGATCTCTGACCACGATCGGAACAGATCCCTGGGTATGGGGCACAGGGTACGGTTTTGCGCTGAGAGGCAACCCCAAGGCATCGAAACGTTGGGCTGGGAGGGCCCGTACTGGAACCTAAATGGAGTATGTATGACTTTCTGCTCGGGTTTTTGTGAGTGGAAAGGCTCCTCGGGAATTTTTGGGAAGAGTGTATGGTTAGAAACTTAGCGGCCTAGCGATACTTATTCCAATTCAGACTCCTTTTCGCGCAATCTGCAAAGCTGCAACAACCACCCGCCTGCGCCGCTATCAGAAGAGCCTCTCCCTGCCTGGCTGTTGGTGCCGGTGAAACCACTTATGAGAAGCTTCGGTGTCGTTATAGGTTTTGTTTTAAGAATATGCGGATTGGAGAAAGGTTTTGGAGTCTTCATAGGTAGGTCGACAGAGACTTTTCCTAATTCTTCATGGAGGCCACACACCTGCACGTGAAGCTTTGCAGCAGCTGCAACATCACTGAGCGTGGAGCTGGCAGACGTCCGCATACCAAACCCTTGCTACAAACGTGCAGCCTAGGACTCGCACAACCCTTCATGGTGTAAGGTCTAGTTAGCATTTACAGATTAATAACGTACCCTGCAGTGTTATCTCTTGCGGGTAATTCCCACTCTATCTCTCTCTCTCTCTATATATATATACACACACATTTCTTGTAGCCTAAGTATAGAGTGAAAAGGTACTACAGATCAGGGCATAGGTAGGCAAGAAAACACCGAAAGCCCAAACCCTCCAAACCCAACAGCCCTTACTTAAGTCCCTGAACCCCTTATAGAGCTCTTATAACAACCCTTCGAACCCAACAAAACCCCTTTAGCAACTCTTGTAGGAACCCTTCTAGACGCCTATGTGACTAAACGGCGTGGGGGTTTCCCAAAACAGGGGAAACTTATATAGTACCCTACATAGAAGAGTCCTTATTACTATAAGCACCCCAAAATAGGGTACCCCTTATTCTTGTAAACTCTAAACCCTTGCTAGAACAATTATAGATCACTTTGAGGAACCCGTAAAGGATCCCTTTAAAGATACCCCAAATCTCCGGAAACCCCCATGTGGCTAAACGACCTCTGAGAATCTCTGGGTCCACGACCTTCGGCTGAATTCGGCCACCCTTTGGCCGTAGAACTCGACCAGTGGCGGAGCCTTGAGAAGTCGAACTCTCTGTTTAGGGTCTATAGGGCATAAGTTTAGGGTTTAGGGCTTAGGGTTTAGGGCAGGTTTGGATTTTGGTTTAAGGGTTTGGGGATGTAGGGTTTGTCAGTTTGAAGGTTTAGGCTGAGGTTTTGTGGACATTAGAGATGAATACTGGTATCTTGGGTCGAGGGTCGTGTTGTTTGGGGCTGAATGGTTGAAGCACCGTTTTCAGCTATTTGAGACTGTAGGCCAGCTATATTAAAACAGGGAGCAAGGGAAGGCCACTGGAAACTACTGTTGGGAGGGTTCCTGTTTGAGGGGAGTGGGGTTCTTGTTCTATCATAAGAGGGTTTTGAAAAACCCTTTTAGGGGTTGAGGAGGGTTCCTTTTGAGGGTAGCGTAGCGTCCTATCACAAGAAGTACGTTTCTCTCAGGGAACCTCTGAATCGAAAACCCGGACACAACTGGCAAGCCCTAGGGCGTGTATGCCCTTGCCAGGCCATGTGTCTCCAGGTCCGCCTCGTTGCACTCAGACCAAAAAACGACACCCTGAAACGCTGAAAGCAATGGAAAGCTCGATAAATCCAAGGACCCCCACCCCAAATCCCCTAACCCCGTCTGGAGATGCGCCAGGGAAGCCGAACAGCTCAAGAAGGTATCTTCCCCTGCTCTAAGTTCTCGAACCGTGAACGCAGCAATCTCTCCAACCCCCCACCCACCCACCCACCGCCCGCACCCCTGAACTCAACAGCCGAAGTGTCAAACCGCCGCGAACCTAGACAACCCAAACCCAGTAAGCATTCCCACAAGCCTCAAAACTCATAACGACCCTACAGTACTCAAAACCCTCGACCAAGAACACATAAGAACCAAATCAACGACAAAAGCAAAAGCAACCTCTAGCCTGAACCCCGCCCCAAGCCGTAAGCTACCACGAACAAAACGAACTCCAAAAATCGCACCGACAAAGCAACTTCGACGAAACTCACACATTCGGGGGCCAGGCGAAGCTGAAGTCCATCCGGCGGAAAGGCTGATTCTTCAAGCGCGCCTCGGGTTTAGGGCTTCGGAGGTAAGGGTTTAGTAGTAACCCCCATGAACCTCACATCAGACACCTTAACGTGAACCCTATAGACTTCGGATTCTGGGAGTATTTATAGGGCTTGGATCGCGTCTCGGGAATCAGATCTTTGAGCCTGGCGTCCAGAGTTTATGATTTCGGGTGTTCGGGGCTTAGCGTTTATAGAGTTTAGGGTCCAGGGTTTAGAATTTAGGGCTTTGGGTGTTCAAGGTTTTCGGGCTTTTGTTCCGACCTTGCCAGCTCGCAGGGTTTTAGGCACAAAGCAAAAACAGGACCCTGAACGGTTTTGTGGCACCGTGCAGTACAGAGTTTGGTTACTTTGACCCTCAAAACCTGGTTTTTGAATGGAGGTGTAGGGCCAAGAGTACCCTAGGAATAAAAAGGGTGCCCTTTTTGGTTTAAAGGGGGCTAAAAGGGACCTAAATTCTAAAAAAAAGGGAATAAGGGCCTACTCTGGGTCCTAGGGTATAGGGCCAGTTCCAAGTTTAGGTTGAATTGTGCAGGATGTAAGTTTCGAGGGCTGGAAGTAGGCTTGAAGCCGGGCTGCCAAGCCTGTCAAGGATACTCGAGTCTTCATCTATATAGCCCTTCAGAACTGAAATCCGACATTGGTGAAGTCTGTCCCGAAAGCCCAATCCAGCCTCGGAAGCGTGGCTGTCCTCTCGAAGATTCCTGCAAAGACGGGCTGCGTCGGAGGTTTGGGTTCAGGGTTTTAAAGTCTATGTTGAATTAAGGCTTAGAGTTCAAAGCTTGCAGCGTGTTCGCGTGTAGGATATGAGCGTTGTTGAGCCTAGTCTTCTGCCTTCTACGGTTTGCGGTCTTCAATTGCCCCTCCTCCTCCCTGCGGTGGCTACCTCATTGTTCATGTACATGGGTGGTTGTCAAAAATAGGGTCCCTTTTTGGGTCCTTAACATAATACGGCACCTAGAATTTAGGGTACCCAAAAGCGGACCCTAATTTTGACAACCACCCATATGGTCCTAACCACGATTGGAAGTAGTACAAGTTTGGTTTCCTCTCAGCGTGGAACATACTAGAGCTGATAGAACTACTTTCGAAAACGGTCTACGCGACTCACAGAGGGCTAAACCCCAAACCCGCAAGTCCAACATGGGGGGGGGGTTCGATAAGCAAAAATTGGCTCGGGGAGGTTTTGTTTATCGTTGTTCGTGCAAGGAAACCTACCGATGTAACTCACTGCTCAGACTATTGGTAGCAATAGTAGCAAGACTGACAACATTACTCTTCGACTACAGCTGGCATAACAAAACGAACAAGCACGAACGCTACTACGACGACGGGTCGAAGTTATCCGTGGCAAGCATGATAGGGATACTGCGAGCATCCTGTCTGAACGCATAGAGGAACTCTCATTTCTCAGTGGCATGAAAGGACTCCTCACCATTCCCCTAAGGAGATACAGAGGCTTCTTCATTTTTCAATGGGAGAGATGAGCTTTCGTACTTGTCTCTTCATGTTTAGATCACTGACGGCTCTAACTTCTCATGGCGAAATACCTCGTTCGTCGTGCCGAACACACACACACACACACAGATGCATCTCAAGATTATTCTCTTTCGGTTTGTACTCACCCAGCGTGCACTGCATGGATTAATGATTAATAAAAACATTAAGTGGCATAGTTCATTAGCCATGACCAGATGCCGATTGGCATCACTAGAGCAGAGTGACATTCCTCTACGTTCTAAAACCTCAGAAACGCAACGAGATTCTCAGATGTGTATGTATGTGTACTACAGACAAAACACATACACAGAAAATGGGCATTGCTACGTAAGCCTTTGAAACAAAATGCTGCTGCTCACACGCTATAGTGAACGGTTACTGTTGACGGCCAAAACAGGCGCCTTTAGCGTCATGGTAAGGTGATATAAGGTTTAGGGTTTAGGACCCTTTTGTTTCTGTACCAAGACCCCCACTACCCTCCAATATACCCCAAACCATAAGGGTTGTATTCACCATGGCACATATGACACATACACATCTGTATGTCTATTCTAGACACACATGCACACATACGCACGCAAACCCTAAACCCTGAAGCACCGAACACCTAAGCTTCGAAGATTTTATCGTTCTCGCCCTGTGATTGATCCCAGCTCTTGCAGTGCCTTTCCTACGGACATCCTTAACGCCTTTTCTAGGTTAGTCCATTTTCACGAAACCTTGTGGGAAGGACCTTCAAGACAGGAAGACAAAATACAGAACCATGAATAACGCTACTATTCCATAAAGGCCTCTAGGATTCTCGATGCGTGTCATAAGGCCGAAGGGTTTTGACTTTCACAGCCTGCATCGGATAGCACAGGCGAAACATCGATCCCCGGCGTCGCCGCAGCCACGGTTTAGGGTTTAGGGTTTATTAAACCTCTTCCATAAGCTAAATCCTAGTACCCCCCCTACAAGTGCCCCTGCAGCCCGGTGTCCTGGAAGGGTAGAGGCACAACTCCACCAAAGCATGCGCCTCCTGCGCGCAGAGAAGCTGCCAGGTTGAAGGGACTTCGAAAGAGGGGCATTAATCATCAGAACTCTTCTATACGTAAGAACAAAGGCTTTCATATGCTACGGTATTGCTGTATAACCATAAGTTACTGCTATATAGTAGTGTTAATATTTCCGAAAACGGCTTGGGGGAATTCCCACCGCGGCTTGATTTAGTGTCTTCCGATCTCCTCAACTTCCCTTCCAGACATGTTGAGTGTGAATCAAGATGAACACCTTTGTGGACTACCTTGCCCTTTTGGGGAAAGGTAACTAACTATCGACACCACTGACTATTGTCTTCGAAATCTTCTAGGCTCCTTGCGCATCCAAAGCGACCTGCTGAGCCGGCTGGCCAGACGAAAACTCCAGGGCTGTCGATGGGCACTTATGGGGCGGGAGGTATACAGGAGTGCCCGAATCCAGCATGGCCTGCAGGTTCCACCCTTGAATGCACACACAAACATCCTTCATAAATGGCCCTGTCAAGCCACAAATCCTTGCGCCTAAAGCCTTAAACCCGAACGCTCTTGAATCCTAACACCCTTATACTCTTAAGCCCCATAAAGCCTTGAACCGAAAATCGGCGTACCCGGAAACTTTCAGCCCCGCACCCTGATAAGCATGTATACACTTCAACCTCCACATGCCTAAACCCCTCACCCTGAACACCTCAAACGTGAAGACCTTAACACAACACATTCGGGTGGTGGTCAAAATTATGGTCCCTTATTGGGAACCCTACATAAATACTAGCTGCCGTATTATAATAAGGACCCAAAACCGGACCCTAATATTGACAACCACCCTTTCCTAAAAGCTTTAACCCTGGCATCTCAAGACCCTTAAGCCCCAAAACCCTTAAAGCCTTAGGCACGAAATCCTCAAACCCTCAAACCCTCATGTCATCCTTATAAACCCTTATCCTAGAGCCTAAATTTGAAAAAAAAACCTGCGCTTTCAAGCAGAGACTCCAATATCCCTTAATTAAGGAATATACCTTAAACTATAGTAGGATCCCTTATATAAGTTAAGGCATATTCCTTAATCAAGGGATATTGGAGTCTCTGGGAAGCCCGTCAGGCTCAAAGCACCTCCGCGGACTCGACTCCAGGGAGGATGATCCCTGCGAGCCGATTGCTGGGGCTTAGGATCTGGGTTTAGGGCTTTTAGGGTTTAAGAGGGTTTAGGGTTCGGGGCTTGGGGTGTAGGATTTAGGGCTTAGGATCTGGTTTAGGGCTTTTTAGGGTTGAAGGGGCTTTTAGGGTTTAAGAGGGTTTAGGGTTTAGGGTTTGGGGTTTAGGGCTTAGGATCTGGTTTACCCTAAGGCCCCATACAGCTGATGATATAAATCCTGCATTGCCTCTTAAGGACCCTAAACCAGGGGTTTAGGGCTTCATGGTCTTTGGGGATTTAGGGGTTACTCCCTCCGCAGGCTGTAAGGCCTGCAGGGATTACATCCCAACAGGCTCCACATGCACTACTATTGTGAAATTAAAGTCCCAAAACCCGTAATGGGGATGGTCTGTTGGGACCTACTTCGGTTGATGATATACATCCTGCATGACCCATGATAAGGAATATACCACAGTTCCCATTTAGGGTCCTTAAGGTAATGGAGGATTTCTATCATCAACCGTTCGTTCCATACTGCTGCGATCAGGCTTCCGGGATCTCTGACGCAGCATTGGGGGAGTCTGCGGTCGCTATCTGGCTTGGTAAAGGGACTTCGGATAAGAGAGCTACTTCATACATAAGAGGTAAGGGTTAGGGGTTTAGGGTTTAGGGGTTTAGGGTTTAGGGCTTTTTTTAGGGAAGAGGTAAGCCTTAAAAATTTGTAGCCTGCTAACTAGGCCCACTGATCCTCGAGACGATTGCAGTCGTGGCTTTGCGGTTTAGGGGTGAGGGTGTTTCCTTGGGGCGGGCTTGAATTGAGGGCTTCAGTTTTGCCGGTTCAGAGTCCGTTGCGACTTTAAGGCATTCAGGGCTTGGAGTCTACGATGGGCTTCATTCTATTTCAAGGCAGCCATCACCGGGTCCCCAGTTGCCAGAGCCACTGTGGTCCTGACGCTGAGACCATTTGCTGCCTCCATCATAATTAGTTAATTAGTGGCCTTGGTCCGACTCAGGATCGAGTACAGGTGGTCCTGCGGCACACTTTGTCTTGCTCGGGCCACTGCAAGTCCTATAAAAAATCTCACCTTGGCACAACAAGCGAACCCACTCAGCAAGCAAACTCGGCGTTGAGGTCAAGAGGCTGATCCCGCCGCTTCGCAATCAGGAGTCCGTAACGCAACCCGGCCACAAAGACGTCTTTCCTGGTCCTTGGAGGTTGCGGCGCAAGAATCTGCCGGTCCCAGAACTCCCGAAACCGAGAATCGCGCCGATTCTGGCTCAAGCCTTCCCATCATCGTCGATTGACGCTGACCTCGTAGTTGTCGCCAGGGCCACTGTGGTCCCGCTTCTCAGAGCACATGCCTCCTCGCTGTAATTAGCTGTACTATCCTGGGGGGATCCTTATTATAATCATAGCATATCTTGGGGGTTCTTGATTATAAGTATAATAATAGCATATCTTGGGGTTCCTTATTTTAATTTAGAATCATAGTATATCTTGGGGGTTCCTCTTTATAATCATATAGGTACACTATATCCCAAAAGCTCTAAGCCCTGCTCATGGAGACCTCTGCCGCAATCCCGCCGCCTTGGTCCTGAGACTAGACCCAAGAGTAACCTAGGAATAAAAAAGGTGCCCTTTTTGGTTTCGGGTTTAGGGTTTAGGGTTTAGGGACTTATAAGGGCACCTGAACCCTAAAAAAGGGAATAAAGGCCTACTCTAGGTCCTAGGAGATTGGGTGCTTCACACAGGCATGGCCGGCCCTGGAAAGACCCGTATACTTACCATTGGTTAGTAGGGAATGGAGGAATGGGGTTTAGGGTACTAGGGTTTAGGAGTTTAGGGTTTGGGGTAGTAGGGAATGTAGGAATGGGGTACAATTATAACTACTATTACTACCAGTCTTCCATTCCCTACTAGCCAAAGGTAAGTATATGCTGACCGTCCAGACGGTTTTGTCCGTTCCGTAGAACAGACAAAGCGTCGTCTCAAGTCGATGAAGGCACACCATACCTATAGTATCCATTGTAGTTCCTTTTTGGAGTAAACCAAAACAAGGAACTACAATGGAGACTATAGGTATAGCACACAAGCATTGCGAGGAATCCTAAAACTGCCCAAGCCGTAAGCCGAACCCTTGTAGCACCCTTGAACTGTACAGCCCCCTACCCAGACCCCCCAGAGTAGATAAAACAATGGCCCAACAAGTATGAGACCATTATTCTACATACCACCTATCTATAGTTATTCCATAAGACGGCTCATTATTATGATTTGGGAAAGTATCCCCTAGAACAATGCCTTAAGGGTCCAAAGCACCCAATAATCAGGTTAGGTTTAGGATACTAGTTATGTAGGCTACTTTTCTGGAGAGTATACGAAATTTAGGTACTTGGACCCTTAGGGATGCCTACCCAGAGAGCTCAATACCCTTTAATAATTAAGGACTATAGCTTAAATCATAAGATGAAGCCCTATGTAATTTAAGCCCTATCCCTTCATACCCTTATAGTAGCCCTATAAATCCCTTTAAGGAGCCCTTAAAGGAACCCTAGCTAGACCCAAGAGTAGCCTAGGAATAAAAAGGGTGCCCTTTTTGGTTTAAAGGGGCTTATAAGGGAACCTGAACCCCAAAAAAGGGAATAAGGGCCTACTCTAGGTCCTAGTTAGGTATCCCTTCATACCCTTATAGAACCCCTATAGATCCCTTTAAGGAGCCCTTAAAGGAACCCTATAGGTATTCCTTAATCATCGGGCGCCTTCCACGCCGACCTGCAGAGCCCGCCGCAGGTGCGCTTGGCTCAAGGCCTGGGCTTCTAGGGTGCAGTTTGGGGCTTTATACGTTTTAGGGGTTTAGGGCTTAGGGCTTATAGACTTATAGGGCTTAGGGCTTTAGGGTTTAGGGTTTAGGGCTTAGGGTTTAGGGCTGAGGGTTTAGAGACTCCAAAACCCCTTAATTAAGGAACATACCTCAAATTATAATAGGATCCATTATATGATTTAAGGTATATTCCTTAATTAAGGGGTTTTGGAGTCTCTGGGTGGGGCTTAGGGCTCAGGGGCTTAGGGCTTATAGGGCTTATGGGTTCAGTGCAGTTTAGGGCTTACTTTGAAAACCTACCTACCTTTTTAGGGTTTAGGGTTTGGGCTTAGGGCTTAGAGCTTATACCTTAACCCTGAATAACCTACGTTTTTAGGGTTCCCCATTCTGGGGTTTAGGGCTTAGGGTGCAGTTTAGGGTTTAGCGCTTAGGGCTTATAGGGTTTAGGGCTTATGGGCTTGGGGTTTAGGGCTTTAGGGCTTTAGGGCTTAGGGCTCAGGGTTTAGGGCTTAGGGCTCAGGGTTTAGGGTTTAGGGCTTAGGGTTTAGGGCTTACCTTAACCCTGAATAGCCACGTTTTTAGGGTTCCCTATTCTGATTTCCTTATATAAATCCTTCAAAACGTAGGTTCTTCAGGGTTAAGGTCGGGTGCAGTTTAGGACTTGGGGCTCAGGGTTTAGGGCTGAGGGTTTAGGGCTTATGGGCTTAGGGTTTAGGGCTTAGGGTTTAGGGCTCAGGGTGTAGTGTTTAGGGTATAGGTTTAGGGTATCAAATTATTGTTCCGGCATTCAGATCAGGCGAAGGGCTTGGGGCACCAAACCCTATTGAGCAAAGGCAGGGAACATGGGGCCTAGGCGGTAGGGTTTAGGGGTCACTTCCGGATTAGGCTTATGTGGCGGCTTTTCAAGCTTTCTAACGACTCAGGATTTAGGCTTGGGGATTAGCTTGCGCTTCGGGTTTAGAGCTTTAGAGCTTCAGGATTTGGGGCGCAAGTGAGGTTTAGGGTGTTTTTGGAGCTCTGAGGTTCGTGGTGCATTTTCAACGGTTTGCCGCGAGGTGGGAAGTACCAGTTGACCAGAAGCCCTAAACACTAATATGGAGTGCCCGGCCCTCTAGTTTACAGAGGGGGTATGATGTTGGTGACGGTTGGAGTTTAGGTTTCGGGAGTTTTGGCGCCAAGGTTGAGATGCCGTACTATACAGGAGCTCTTCGTATTGCACAAGCGGTTAGAAGCAGGAAACAACTCTGCATAGACTTGTGCATATAGGACATCAGCCAGGACACAAAGGGCACGATTTAGTCCCGCGATGTCTGGTCGGGCAGGTGCAGCAACTCTAACTAAACAGAGTGAAGATAAGATCAACGGGGTAGATCCCCGCATTATGCAAGGACTCCTGATGCCCAGTGGTCCTGAACCTTAAACAAATTTCCTGCTGACCGACACAACTAAACCCTAAACCCTAAACCCTAAACCCCTAAGTCCCCTGCTCTTCCAAGCACCCAGCGGGCTAAAGCAACCCAACCATCTCGGAAGCAGAGCAGAGCTGAGCCCATAAACTCGGCCCTCAGAGCAGAAAAGCCGAAATCCCTAAACCCGCAAACGGCGCAAACCGGAAACCTTGCATCCGAAGTCCTACACCCTTTCGGGGCCCCGTAATACCGGAACCCTTAAGGTAACAAGCAAGGCAGCGACTGGCACGCGCATCAGCGAGTGTGCACCCGCTCGCGACGCCGCGTGGACAAGCGCCACAGCTCCTGAGATGCAGTCTCAGCGACTTTTGGAAGGTTACTACAAAGGTTTTGAAGGAGGTTACTGCAGGTTTAGGATCTTCAGGCATTGGGAACAGTCTTTTATAGCCTTTAGGAAATGTATACAATGCCGAGCACGCCGAACCAAGCAACCTGTGTCATGTGGATCCGGTGAGGTCCGGGGCTTCGAAAAGCTTCGCGGGGGACAAACCGTCTGTTTGCTTCTTACACTCCACTTACTGGCCGGACCGGTTCTGGGTCTTACTATAGGAGACTTTCCCGAAGCCCTGAACCCAGAACCCGAAAACCCAGACCGACACCCCAAAACAGACCCGATCAATCTGAACCCTGCCTGGACCCCGAAAGTCCGTAGAACAATAGCCTTTTAAACTTTCAAAGGTATTGGGCCATTATTTTACCTGCTTGTATAGAACAATAGCCTTAGGAGAGGTATCGGGCCATTATTCTGCCTACTTTCGGGGGTTTAGAACAATAGCCTTTTAAAGGTGTCGGGCCATTTTTGTTGCCCGCTTTGGGGGTTTAGGTCAATTAAACCCTAAACCGCTAGGTGGTGCATGCTGGCCAAGAGGCCCAACAGATCTTCGGCGCCGCGGGCGTGATCTAGCACCACGACCTCCCCGTAGACCACCGGAACTGGAAATAGTCCCCCAACAACCATGCTTGTAGGGTTTAGGGTTTAGACAAAACATCTGTGGGTTTAGGGTTTAGGGTTTAGGGAAAACCATGAGAGAGATGGTGGTTTCGCAGGCTTGAGAGGTTCAGGCTTTCACGCGGCGTAGGTTTACAAGAAGCTTTGAGGTCGGGGCAAGCTTCCTGAAAGCCAACACACCAAGCCCGAGCCGGAGAAGCGCCTCGAAATCTGAGCCAACAGGTCTCGAATAGGGCCGACGCACTTCAAGCAAAGGTGTTCTGATTCTACCCCGAAGGCCCTCAACTGGTGTCGACCCTTTATAAGACCTTAGAGTCTTTGTCGGGGTTTGGGGCCGAAATGCCAAGGCATTGGGGCCTGAGGAGGGTGCAGAAGAATTGCAGACTGCCGTGACGGCGTGTTCTATAGATATCCAGCATCCAGAATCCATACTCTACCGACGGTTTCCGGAGCTTCCGAGAAGGTTCGATGGCAGCGCATCTTTTGTTGCAGACTTAGTGCGCGTCGTGTTCGTGGGCTGGGAAACGATGTGGTCCGCATCTCGCACGACCTAGCCACAGGTGCAGGCATACGCCTGTCGTCCGGCCAGCCATGCTTTGCATGCACATCGTAGTACAAACAGAATGCAGCTAAGCTTAAGGGAGGAGGAAGGCCGATACGGAAAAGCTGACTTGCGCGGATGTTCGGGCGTCCTGAACCCCAAATCCAACAACACATGACCCAAACTCCGAAAACCATCCGATACGACAACTCTCCCCCTATATCCGAAACCCTGGTAAGCCCTTGAACCCCAAACAAAACCCTTAACCCTAAACCCCGATCCCTAAACACAGCCCTGAGCCCTAAACCCCAAACTCCCCAAACCCTGAATCCTAACCCCTACCTTAACCCCAAAGAACCTACCTTTTTCAGGAAATTACATGAAGGAACCCTAAAAATTGAAGGTTCCTTGGGGTCCAGGTAGGCCCTAACCCCAAAGAACCTACCTTTTTAAGGACTCTCATATAAGGAAATCAGAATAGGGAACCCTAAAAAGGCAGGTTATTCAGGGTTAAGGTAGGCCCTAAACCCAAGCCCAGCTCTCGCCTCGAAGCCGGAGGCGGCCACGAGCTCCGCAGCCGCAGCGGAGCCCAGGCGCACGAGGGCGCCCAAAGCCCGGGCCTGCGGCAAGGCGGGCAGGTCTTGGGGTCAAGGGTTTACCTTCATCTACCTATTTAACTTATTTATTGACCCATCTATGTCTCTATGTAGAGAGAGAGAGAGAGAGCGAGAGAGAGAGAGAGGGAGAGGGAGAGGGAGAGGGAGAGAGAGAGAGAGAGAGAGAGAAGGGGAAGGGCGGGGGTGGCAACGAGTCTTTAGGGCTCAAAGGTCCTATTCAGGGCTTACGATGAGGGTGACGATCAGGGTACGGAAAGGCCAACAGTAAGTAAGGAGCATCAGGGTTTAGGTTTGAGGCTTGTACGCGTAAGAACATTCCAGGCCCAAACTCGAAAACGCCGGAAGCCTGTACTCGAAATAATTATCCTTTACCAGCACGACCCGTTCGTTGCTATATATACCGACGGTTGGGCGGTATAGAGACGACAGTCCGTATGATGACGTTTCGTCTTCGTCAGACAATGACGAATTTGAACCCAAATGAATGTGTGATCTCTCTTTCTCTCTCATTCTTTCTTTCATGTAATATATATGTTGTGCGGGTTGGGTTGTTTGGCTACAACAAACTGCGATTGACGATCTCGGCCTTTTTCACGGCCCCCGGAATCGGAGCGAAAACTGTAATGCCCATTTAAAAAGGACATGCCGTGAGACAAAATTGGGGTGAGAGGCGATCGCAAGCTGTTTCACACGACGAACGGCGTCTTCGCCCAAGTAATTAGCCGAAAACCGTGGGTTCTGTCGCAGAACCATTACAAAATCGAGAACGGCATGTTCGAGCATGTGCTGTTTCGGCCTGCATTTCCATCGTGGCACCTGAAGCATGACAGCACGGCTTGCAAGCCGGTCGAACGAGCTTCTGTACAAGTAATATGCCGCTTCGAAGTTCTGGCACACATCTTCTCGGAAGAATCGGCCGTTCTCCATCTGAAGCTGCTCCATGTACATTAGCCCAGTCACCACACCAAGAATGAGCCTCGGAAGGTTTTGAGTCTCTATTTTTGAACTGCTGCCGGCTTCTATAACCTTATAGGCGACTTTGCACATGCTCGTGCTCGGATTCTTAACATTGAAAACAAACACATGCCACCCAAATGATTCGTCCTGGCCGGGGCACTTGAGATGCTCAGGCTGCTCGTCGCCTTGCAGTAGGCTGTTCATGAACCAGTGCATCCAGAAGACCATGAACTTTGCAGCTGCTGCCCTCATAAATTTCTGGGATACGGTGACATAGTCATGTCGCAGGGTCTCGTTGGTAAACAACTTTCGTTCGCACCTGTCAGCAATATTCCAGTATTGGCAGTATTCTTTGTAGCTTTGCCATGCAATCTCCAACCGAGCATCTCTAGACGATCCCGGCCATGGCCATTGTGTGTCGCTCAAGTCCAGCAGCATGCTGGTCAAAGCATCGCCCAGACATGCCAAGTGCACTATGTGCATGTAATCCGGGAGGATGCCTCATAGTTTGGATGTTTACTGCTGTGTATATATGTATTGGCATCAATAATGCTATTTGGGGTTTAGGCTGGGTAAAAGAAAGCTTTCGGACAGCTTTACCCAATATTGAAAGGCTAGCATCGCCAAGGGCAGTAGCCACCAGCTAGTCCAGCGAAGGGACTCCAGCCATGCACAGCGATGAACTCATCATTGCCAGAGCAAAGCCTCGACAGTACCAGACTTGAAGTGTTAAGTGCAATACACTATAACACCATAGTCGGCGGTTATAGCTTCGACGGAATGCCGAGCATCCTTTGCCGATGGAGAGCTCTTCGGCCGAAATTGGTGAACAGAAGCTCTGGATTGTTCGGCTCCGGGTCGCCAGGTTGCGGATATTTGAGGATCCACTGCAGGGCCTGTACGGGTATGATTCGTTCAAAGAGCTGACAACAAGCAACTGCTGGCTCTCATTTGCGAGTCGTGCCTCACAGTAGTGGCAGACCATCTTGCGTGTATAATTTCCTCGTGATCATTTGCGAATTGACAGCTAGCACAGCCGAAACCCTCAGATAGCAGCCAATTATGTTGCAGGGAAGAATCTCTGCAGCCGAAAACACTTGCTGATGAACTCTTGGTCCATCTGAAAAGCATCCAGAACCACCGTGTACTTTCCGCAGATTCGACGACCAGCTTGTTCACGACGAGAGCCCTTCAAGCATTCGCCATTCATATCCACCGACGGATAGACACCCTGACCTAGGATCGCTGTAACCCTGGCTAAGAAAACCATATTGGCAAATCAATATTTTTAATTCCAATCCACCAAGGAAGAAACCCCCAAACTTAATTGCTTCTTCATAAGGACCGGGGACCGAGAACTTCGAGCGACCAGGCGATGGCTTTCATTATCAGCTCCCTGGCTTCACTGGTGCCTTGCCCGGACATACAGCTAAGCCTCAGATTGATCTTTCGACAGCAGAACTACGGCATGTCATCAGACTTAGTCAAAGAAGCATCGTAAAATGCATCGAGGGAGCAAGAATCGAGTATCCATACAGGATGTTTCTTCTCCCAGCACCGATTGCAAAAGGAAGATCTCGAAGTTTTGAGTACCTGCAGCAATAATGTCTCAAGTACCTCATACATGATACTCTACTGTGTAGCTATAATGCAACCAGCTTCGGTAGCTTTCAGCTCCATCGCCATATAGTCGCACAGGCACAATGAAATCACGAGCTTCAGCGAGAGCCTGGGCGTGGACAAAATGCAGCCCGGAAGCAACACAGGAACAAACCTGAATCGGGCAATAAGCTAAGTAGCCGGGTGATTGAACCACCAGTGTGAAGCAAATTCTCTCGATTTCTGGCAGTATTCTCGAATCTCCTGCACCGAGGATAAGAGCCAAAGACTTTCTACACATAAACAACATTTCGCGATTTTGGCGTAAGGAGGCTTCAGCGTGCAAGCAAGTTGCTTCTGGCTTTCCAAAGAGCTTGTGAAAGAAGTCCCGGTCGAAATTGTAGATGCAGCCCATCACTTCGTGAGGGAGGAACATGCTGTGTTCGTACCAGCCCCGATCTTCGTTGCCGGCTGCATCCAGGTTCACCTCGCTTCGATCATCTCTAAAGTCTATAGTGTGTGACTTCAGAAGCCAGTGACAAACAGTTCCCCAAGAGGCGGGCATAGGGAACCCAGATCTTGTGCGGCTCCGGAAGAATCTTTCCTCGATCAAGCCAGAATGAACTTTAAGGGTTTGGGATTGCTATAGTTTCGATCTATATTGTCTAGGGTTTCTGAGAATTCCAAACAAGTCTCGCCATGGTTGCTTCAGAGACCAAGCCTCTAGGATGTTGACATGTCCCCAGTGGTTTTTCTTCGCATCCAATCTCCTCGCCAGATCCAGCATATCAGGCCTTAGTGTTTATATGGGGTTTAGGGCTTTGGGGTTTGGGCTTTAGGGAAGTTTGGCCCAAGATGCGGCACCAGCATTTCTGGTAGTTGAAGCAGGCGACCTTATTGCGGGGTTTGTCGAGGCAGGCAAAATATCTTTTGAAGCAACCCGGCGACACTTGTGGGTCAGGGGCTGGTCGTTGTGAGGAGGTTCTTTGTCGCGACCTGCATATTGGAACATGGCATTATGCACAAGTTGGTGCATACACTGCAGACACTAAAACTATTGCATCTAGGGCACATCTCCGGTAGATACGAATTGCAGAATATCTTCCACGGTCTTCCGAATATAGTCTATCATCCATTGCCCCGAGGATCCAGAACATCCAGATGATGCTGCAGAGTCCATTGGACCACAAAAAACATCTGAAATCCAGTGTCTGGGCAGGTAGATGTTGTTCAGGGTTTGCGATTTAGAGTTTAGGGTTTTAGGGGTTAAGGCACGGTTTGAAGTTTAGGGGTTTAGGGTTTAGGGAGGGTTTGTAAGGTTTTTCGATGAGGAGTTTGGGCTTTGCTGTGTTTCGGTTTTGCATATGTGTAGGGCAGTGTAGGGTGTGGGATTTAGGGTAATTGGGTTCGAAAACTTGAACTCAAGGTTGGGGTCTCACAATTGCAACAGAATAATGAAGCTTCCGGGATGCATAAAGATTGCTTCCTTAAAGTATAGCAAATAAGCTTGGATACTAAGATTGAGATAGGTTTGGCGCTTCGGGTTAAGGTTCGGGTTGCGACCATATAAGGATGCTTCCTCCCGAGTTAATGCAGACTGAGGGCTGAGGTCTGTGCTCACACATCATTCATCAAGCAAGGGATCTCATGCACATGTGGCGAGGCGAGGTTTGGATGGATGCAGATCAAAACTCTCGACATGCTAGGACCATCATTTTTCGCCCCGGGTCGCTCGCTCACACATATCTGAAAGCTACCGGCGATCCTTAACGACTGCATCTATAGCAGGCTGCAGGAAGCCCCTCTGAAAGGATAGATTGCCCGGGATTTACATGCTTGCTTTGAGCCCAGGTCTAGGTCGATAGGTCGATATAATGATCCGGGCAGACCCACTGCTGCAGTACGATGGATCGCAACCCCAGCCGAGGCCCTTCAGGCCCTTGCCCTTTTTTCAGGGGGCTGAACAGTCTCTTCAGCATCATCATCTTCCCAATCATCTTCACCATTATCTTCATTATTCTCATTCTCATCTGGCCACTCTTCTTGTTGCTCTGCATCGTCTACCTGAGTATCCAGATCTGCCGTAGCCTGCTTCTTCAGCTCTTCTTTTTCCCGTTTTCTCTTCTCCGAAGCTTTGCCTGATCAAGCAGATTTGGCGAATAGTGGCTTGGGAACCAGAGTGTAGCATGTGCAAATACAATACTATCGTTAAGCTGGGGCACGTCGCTCAAAGGTCTGGAACACACCCTCGGCATGTGCCACATCCTTCGCATATTCCTGGCCGGAAGCAGCAAGCCCTGGATCCCAATCCTATGTAGGACTACATTTCAAAAGCAAGGCCTGTAGCTGATGGGCTTTGCTGTCCAGGTACTCTCTGGCTTTGGAAAGTGGCTCGGATGAGAAGAGGAGTGTGTTGCACCTGAGAAAGCAAGCTAAGCATCGAGACC